ATTTTGAATTATATATATATATATATATATTTTAAGAATGAGAAGAAATTATCGTAAGTTATATATTTTTTTAAGTATAAGAAAAAAAAAATTTTGTTCCACATTTTATTTCTAGTCGGGGTTTTTTTTTTCAAAATTATTACTATTATTTGTAGCTAAAAATCTTAATGATTAAATATGACATAGTTTTAAGAAAATTTGATTAGATGATCGCACCATCTATTGCTATATCTTTATAAAAAAGTGTGATTATAATAAAGATGAAATTCAACAGGAGATTTAATTCACATTTTAAAAATATATATTAATAAAATTAAAGGTTTTATCAGATTTTCAAGTTCTTTGTTATTATAATATGAGTTTATTATAGTTGATTACTCTGATTTATTGGATATTCATCAATCATTTAAAACAGTTATTTTTATAAAAATTTTAATTTTTATACTAAAAAAACTGATTCAAGAAATAGAAAAAAATTGAAATCCAAGCCTTAATTTTTTTTTTGAAAAGGAAAAAAAAATCCAAGCCTTAATATGGCGGATAGCTGGAATTCATAAATTTTCCATTTTAACTTTCAATTTGATTTTTGCCATAATGTATCCGATGTAATTATTTTAGACCCTTTTTTATTACTTTTTAAACCAACTTTTTAGCATAATATAAAAAAAAAAAATAGTATAAAATTTGTTTAAACAAGAAATCTTTTGTACTAAAAATTTGCTTTAGATGTATTGCTCTAGAAAATAGCTTTAAAAATGATAAAAAAAAGTTGTCTAAACCAAGCCTTAATTTAATTATTCATCATTTCTTTCTTTTTTTTTTAAATTGTTGCCAAGCTTAAAAAATTTAGCATAATATTTTATACGCTTTTTTTTTTGTTATATTTAGTACATGTTTTTATATTATTTTAGAGAGGAGATATGTCTGTTGGAAACATATAGATTTCATGTTATATATTTATGAGAAAATCCAAGCTCTGTTGTATTCCTTTAGATCCTCTAAAAGCTCTATTCTGGGCGGTTAATGGACCGTCCAGAAGTGAATCAAGATGCGTCAGTATACAATGATACACATCATCGTTATACAATAAAAGAGTGATACGACGTATCCTGATTAACCTCTTGACGGTGTCGAATTGCCACACAGAATAATTTCACAAGGTTCTCGCATCCACTTAACTTGGAATTTCTGACATTATAATAATATTTCTCACAAATACATGCAAAAATCTCAAATTTTTTATATGAAATATTATTTAAAGTGTATGTAGCATATAATAATATTATTCAGATAATAATATTAATTATACCCGCTTTTTTCTTATTATTAAATCTCAATTACAAATTATATAATTTAAAATTATCTGATTTTTTAAAATATTTGAATTACTTTAAAAAATATTTTTAAACATTTTTTTTTGTCATTTATTTTAGATGTTAGAATTTAGATAGTATTATATCTAGATGTCGGTAAAGTTGGCCGACATGTAGATATGATCAAAATATAACAAATTATTATTTTAAAAATTATTATTTTAAAAAATCAGTCAAAAAAATACCTAACATTACCTGCTCCTTTTTTTTTTTTAAAGTGATAACTGTTTTTCTAAATTTATCATGTGGAAAGTGATAGGTTATATATTGTTTATCTTGTTACCTGTTTATAGTTTGCTTGTGCTTTATTTTAATATTTCTGGTCTAAAGGGGGAAATTTTTTGGTTAAATTTAATTTTCTATCTGCTAAATTTGTTTAGAGATAATTGCTATAAGTGTTTTGACATATTATTTTTTATTTATCTCGAAGTAAATTTAAAGAATTTTGAGGGTTTTTTGTCTGCTCAGAATCAAAATCAAATGATAATGGTTGGAGGATTTTAGTCGGCAGATGGTGGTCGAAGTTCCGTAGTTGGGAAATAATGGTTAGGAGATTGCAGTTGGGATGGAGGCCGGTTAGAGAACGATATTCAAGCAACGGTGGGTGGTGGATTGCAGTAGGGTAATAATGATCCAATGACGACTGGCACTTGACATTGATTAGATGATGATAATTGGGCACTAGTTTGATGGCAATGGTCGTGTGTTGATCCGATAGAGCTCTCATATTGTTGAATCCTATGAGCTCTTTTGAATTTCAAGCAAATGATCGATCTATTTATAAAATTTTAGACTCGCACGCGCCATAAAAATAGTGAAGTTTCATATCCTCCGTAAAATAACTTGTATTGATTCTTTTGATCATATGTCATTCTTATAGCATTTAAGTACTTTAATCATATTAGAATTAAAAAAAAATAAATCTTAGGCTAATTAAATTTTTGCTCAGTGTTCGCATTCAAGAAGTTAACTTGTCCAGTGGTGGAAACAGCAACCAGAGTCAGCCTTAGTTACTAGCATTTCAAGGGAAAAAAAAGCAGAACTTTACATGCTAAAGGAAACTTGACTGCAAGCAAAATAAGCACGAAATCAATATCAATATCTTCTGAGAGATTTCTTTTTTTTTTTGGGAAATTTTGGGGCTTAGCCCTTCATAAATCATAAAACTTACAAGTAAAGTAAACAACGAAACTATAACTCCAAAACTCAGAACAAAAGGAGTAGTGGAGTTCTAAAAAAACTGGAAAATACAAGATATAAAAAAGGAAACAAAAGAGGCTTAAAAGCCAAAAGGACTCAGGCTGTTCTGCCAATTCACGAAAAGGGTCCATTCTCGATGGGTCTGGTCAGAACAAGAACCCCTGGTTGCCAAAAGACCGTCCAAGGGGTTAGCTGAAATATCAGCATTCATCATTGTCCTTTCAAAAAACCCCTTCCAACCAAGCAGAATGTGGATCCGAATTTCCGAATATGACCAAAAGGAGGCGTTGAGAACAGTGGTAGCAGTAAAACAGGGTAACATCCTCCAAGCGAACAACCCAGGCACCCTATAGAGGAAGTATAAATCTCGGAATGAAGCAGAAAGGGGGCAATTGATCTTCCAGTTAACAAAGCAAATCAAAACGTCGTTTGAGTTCATCGAAATGCTTCCAGTACTTGACTTTGGCAATGATAGCAAAGCGGATAGCAGAGATGATCCTAGAAGGACTTCTCCAAACCATTTCAAACCTCCTTGAATTTCTTTCACGCCATAAGAAGTAAATAGAACAACAAATAGTAAAGTAACAGAAATTTTTCTCCCAACTGCAGTAATCCAATGATTCATCAAAAATTCCAAAAACCTGCATCATGTTTGGTCTCAAAAGAAAAGATCTCAGTTGTGGTAGAAGAGAGGAAATGACAGTGAATGAAAAATCACATGTGAAGAACATGTGAGAGTGACTGTCATGACCACCATCACAAAAGGAGCAATGTGAGAAAGCGTCAATTCCTCTCAATAAGAGTTGATCTGCAGTTTTTAATTTACCAAGAATCGCCAACCAGGCATAGGCAGAGAATCGGAGGGACTTCCTCTTATGCCAAATATATTTGTGCCAAATAACTTCCTCAACTATGTTAAAGTAACTATAATAAAAGGTGGAGAAAGTGGGAGATGGAGAGCCAAGCCAGAAGACCATTGAATTCTCAGAAAAAGGCATACTCGAAATTTCGGCCACCAGCAAGTTTGGGGTGGTGGGAGGTAACAACCACCCAGAGCTAGTAGTGTAGCAGTTCACAAAAGAATCCTCAAAGTTAACGGATTGCATGATGTCTTTAAGGGATTTGCCATTACACCAATGATCCCATTCCATAGAAAACTTGCAGTTATAGGATAAGGAGAAAGAGAAATTCCTTTTAATGGCAAGAGCAGTGTGGTGAATTTTCTTCCAGAATTTCGAAGAAGTAGCCTTTATGGGTCTCCACGGAGAAATATATTTGTTTCTGAGAGATTTCTTACATGCTCTGCTTACGTTGTCATTTTGGGCCCAGGTTTTGTCTGCTGGTCAGATAGCTCCAGCTGCACCTGAATGGCAACACTATGGTCCATTTAGCATGTACTGGGAATCTTTTCCTCTCTGTATTGGAGCCAGCTTATAATACTTGGAAATTACTTTTTTTTCTTAAACCATAAAAACCCCGATCAACCTAGCATGCAACCCACATAAATTTATACGGGCCAACACTTAAGGCTTTCACTGCTTGCCAAGAAATTCGAACCAAGGACCTGGTTGCTCAACCGGCTCTTCACCACCCGGACAAACAATGGTTGGTCTTGGAAAGTACTTCAAATAGATAGAGGTATATTTTGTTATTTTCTGATAAATCATGTGAAGCATGAGGGCAGCTGAGATCAATTATAACAGCTCGTATGATTGAGCTATTATTATGTGCGGATATTAAATGATTCTTCCGTCCATTTACGTGCTTGGTATCGAGCAGTATCAAGCTTGATACCGAGCGCGATACATTTTTGAGTTGACGTGACGTATTTTTATTGATCTCCGAACACTCCGGACTCCGCACAGAATAAAAATTCTGTCTGATCAGCTTCATGTGACTTCTTTCTGCTAGCAATTAATCCATTTGTTGCATGAGAAAGCAATTTCAGATGAAATTTTTTGTAACAAACTTGCAGACCATGATGAGAATGAAGTCAAAAGTGGATGGCTAGAGCAATAGCATTTACAAATCAATAAATAAAAATTGATCATTTACATTCTTTGGAGTCATTGATGCTATTTGGATTTCATTTGTTAGCATCTACATGAACATATTGCCTCAACATGCAATGAAAAAAGTCCAAATAAATGTTGGAAAGAATAAAGGGATTGCTACACGAGAAATTATTGTGCGAAGACCGGACATAAAACGCTGTCCAGAGACCAACCAGAATGTGCCACATCAGTTGTACCAAGCGCAGAGATGACGGGAAGCATTTGGTTGATCTCCGGACGGCATTCGGTGTCCGCACATAATAAATTCTCTTGGCATCAACTTCACAAACATGTACCAAAATTTTGGTTGATGTATGTCATTCTCGATCCCCGATCGCGGTGAAAGTCATTGAGGCATTAGATGTAGTGGATGAAGATGATGCAGTGAGTTCGATAGCCTTCTTCCTTCCAATCTTCATTTGAGTGAAGTCTGAAATAAGACCAGGTGTGGTGATCTTGATCGACTCGACGTCTTTGACGCCGGTCAGCATATTAAAAACAGTGGACATGGAGGGTCGAAGCCCTGCCTCATCTTGGGTGCACATAAGGCCAATTTTCAAAAATCTGCATGCTTGCTCGGTGTCCAGGTCATTGGACAGTGTTGCATCTATTATCCTTTCAAGCTCTCCTTTCTCATAAAGTGCCCATGTCTGCAAAATGAGAACCGCATCAATAACATCTGGGTAGTGTAGAAGTGTTACTATGTTCCAGCGGCTCACAAACAAGCAATCAGAAATGAGTTTTTTAAAAAGAAAGTCATCAAATGAGGCTTCCTTTGGAACGGTTTTCTTAATGCTACTTAAAGCAGCTTTTTAGTACAAAAATTAAAATTTTTTACTAAAAAACTGTTTTAGGAAGCAATAAGAAAGCCATCCCAAACGAAGCCTAAGTAAAAAAACAATACAATAATAGCAGGTATAATTTTTAGTAGACCAGATGCTTCCATATACATATTTTGATAGTATTTAGTGGAGAAACAAATTAGAAAAGAAATTAATCATTATAACACCATTAAGCATTACACACTAATTGTAGGCAATATCTAAATTTAAAAAGAAAAAAGAACTATGTTATACAAACCATGAATTAGATGGGCTGAAACTAAATTTCGAGTTTGTTTCTTTAAAGCAAAAGATGAAAAAAATTTGTTCCAACGAAAGTGAAATAATAAGAAAGAATACCCCAAAGAAAACAGAGCTAAACTAAAGGACAAAGTTGACAAAAAGCAAGACAAAACAGTAGAGAAGCTCTAGAATAATATCAAGACCAATCCTTCTCAACAACAAACTCAAGAGAAGTCCACCAAACATAAAGCATGGATGAATATGGATCAGAAAAGAATCAACTTCAAACATGCTCAATATTGAGAAACCAAAGCTTTTCTTAATAACTGTAGAATATCCTTCCTTTACTTACAGTAGCTATATGTACGCTCTAGTCTTTTTTCTTTTTTTTTGGACATTTAGGCCATTTAAGGCAAACTCTCACACACAACGCATACACAAAGACTTGAACACAAGACCTCTTGGTTGGAAGCATAAGCTCTCAACCATCAGGCCAAGGTGAGCTGTGTACGCTCTAGTATCAAAAGAGTTTGTAAAAATATTACAAAGGTACTTCTGTACTGCTATAACAGAAAAGGTAATAGAGAGCAGTGGTGTCCAAAACAAAATAACAGAAATAATAAATTGTGCCTTCATGTGTTACTATGCTATGATGTCCCACATAAAAAAAAAATGCTATGATGTCCCACATCAGAAGAATAATAGCCAAATCCAAAACACCCAACTCAGAGCCAATGCCCATAAGCCATCTGGACTCCAGCAAATCAAATACTATCTGAAGCAAGAGAATAAGGACACCAATAGAAGCCAAATTTCAGGAATCTGACCAAGAGAATCAAGAGAACAAGGACACCAATAGGAAGTTTCTATTTATTTAAAAAGATTCTTAAATTATGTTTATTCTGATTAAGAAGGTTCTATTTGTATTAGTGTTCTAGGGCTATTTACGTGGGAGTTTGTGTATGGTTTAGGGAGAGATGTTGCTGAATTTATTTTCCTAGTGTTTATTGTGAGTTCCTAACGGCGTCTAAGATTTGTGGTTGAGCTGATCAATCTCTTGAATTGTAAATCATTTGTATCTTGTTTTCTCTTATTGAAATTTTTATAAAAAAATCAGCCCTATCTTTGCATTCCTATGCTGTTTTTTCTCTTTTATTTGTTGTTTTTACTTCCAAGGTGTATCAGAAACACCTTTCGAATTCTCTTCAGAACAACAACTCTTTGATTTAGAGTCCATCAATTACCATATTTCAAAATATAAAGATTATAGGAATCGTTGTGCATAACAGCAAAGTATTAATCTCAAAGATGATATATTTGATGTTGGAGCTATGGATCTTCCTAGCACTGGTATCTCCAATATATATAACGATAGTCCTATTGATTCATCTAACAAGTCCAAATTGGACGAAGTTCTCACAAATCCAGCTTGACTAGATCATTTTCTTTTCCTATGCTAAACTTCTTCCCCGCTATCATCTGATCAGTCATTCTTCTCCTACTACATGTGCTTACTTCTGCTAAGCTCTTTAGCATATATTTCAATTTAAAACTACTAGAAACTTCATCGTCAATTTAACTCCCTCTGCTCAGATTTGAAGTGCTTTCATGAAAGGAGCCCAATTACTATGCCTACAAAAGAAGCTTCCTTCAGTCAAAGCAGGTTTCATGTCTTCTAGTTGGAATTTTTCCTCACAATTTTCCAGTTTATAGAGACACTCAAAGATAACAATCTATGATTTACAACTACTTGAAAGGAAATCCCTTAGACCCAAGCCTGCTTTTGGAAGCTAATCTTGTTCAAAAAGATCTATCTCTTGAAGATGATAGTGAACTGGCTTTCAAATGGGGAAGCACGGTTTATTTAGTAACAGGCAGGAACAGGACATCTCCAAGTTCCCAGCCACAAACAAACTCTCACTTAAAGGTAATTCATTCCATTTTTTTTAATTCATTTGATGCTATTATAGGTTTTGTGCATCTTTTGTAACTTACCATTATGATGCTGATGACCACTTTCAGAAAAAATATATACAACATTAATGGCTGCTAGTACAGGTTCTTGATGCTTCTTTTGTATCTTATTTATTAGAGCAAGAATAACTTCTAGACCCTAAGATAACAAATCAAAACCTCAAGATTCAATTGTATTGTCATATGAACTATCGAAAGTGCACATGGCATTGAGCATTGTACATTTTAAGAAGCCAGATATATCAACATAGATCTACTCTAAACTAGAGCCGATAAAAAAATACCTGAAACTTGAAAGTTGCTTGAAATTTAAAAATCTTTTAGATGAATGGAAATTGATTCAAACCTACTTGACTTCAGCTTTTTAGCTTTGGTTGCTCAATAGAAATCCATTTCAAGTCTGCTTAAAGTTTAAGATTGCTTGTTCAAACTCTGACTCAAGCCGTCCCTATACAACAATAACAACATCAAGTCTTTGTCCCACTACGTGGAGAATGGATTCATGTCATAATTATTCGACAAGTTTTACACTGGTTGTCGCCTATCGACTACCTAACGCAACCCTCCACTTTTTTCATCCAGGACTTGGGACCTGGCAATGACAGTGTTTCTATATTAATAATTATTTAATACATTTAATGCATAGTACAAATAAATTATTATTTTATGTATTGACTAGTATTTTATAATGCTTGCAAAAGTGCATGATGGGTTTTGTCCATCCCTCCAAAACTTTGTGTTCATCCTAATTTCAAATCAACTCAAATTTGTTTTGAGGTCAAGTTTGGGTCAAGCTAACTCAAACTCTAACTCATTATCAAACTTACATCACCCTCATAAAATGCTGGTTCTAACAGGTAGCATGTACATCATTTTAAAAGCGAGATTGCACTATTTGCTTAAGATGTCATTCATGTCTCTTATATAATATATAGTACTAATTAGGATGTAATATTTCTTAGAAAAACTAGATGCCAAAATAAATTGAATGATAAAAATCTAAAATGTAATGATAAACGATCATCAAACTTTTCATCAAGAAAAGGGATGAATTTATGATGAAAATAAGCAGTGGAGGCCTTAAGACTTACCCTATCAAGAAGAAATTGTTCTTCATCAGGCAGTCTTGTGTTTGTATGACTTCTGCCGCTAACTATTTCCAAAAGAAGAACTCCAAAGCTGTAAATATCTGACTTTCGTGTAACCTGCCCACGGATGGCATACTCAGGTGCCAAGTATCCTCTGATAGAACATTATAAGTACTTCAGTGACGAATAATTAAGAATATCCCTAAGAATATCACCTTTAATATTGCTCAACTGCTAGAATTATTTTCAATATTCAGCTTCCCAAAAACATGCAAAAAGTAGGAATGGTCTATTCCTTTTGCAACTTTGAATTGGCATTCATGGTTGTTCATGAACATCACAAGTACTAGACCTAGATGAAAAACCTTTTGGACCAGAAATTGCCGTAAATAAACAAGCTCAGATCCCCATAAACATGCAAAAAAAGTGGGACCAGCAAAATCCTTTGCAAGTTTCAATTGACATTTCATACTTTTCCATGATCAGACCAAGAATTTCCGTAAACAAAAAAGAAAAAAACTCACGCTGTTCCTGCAACTCTGGTACTGACATGTGTTGCATTTGGTGGTAACAGTTTTGCCAAACCAAAATCTGATATTTTTGGAGTGAAATCCTTGTCAAGAAGAATATTGCTTGCTTTTATATCACGATGAACAATATGGGGCTCAACTTCCTCATGAAGGAATGCAAGACCACGTGCGACACCGATGCAGATTTTACATCTTGTTCTCCAGCTAAGCTGAATGTTGCTGTGGTTTGAACCTACTTGCCAGGAAAAAAATAAAGCAATCAATCTATGAGACATTGCAAAAACAGAAAACATATTCTTCATGCAACGGTAAAAGAATCGTTTTTAGGAATTAAATTACCGAGAAGAGTTTGGGCTAGACTATTGTTCTCAAGATAATTGTAGACAAGTATTCTTGAGTTTCCTTCCATGCATACACCATAGAGCTTAACAAGGTTCTCATGAACTATATCTGAAATTGCCGTAATCTCTGATAAGAATTCCCTTGCTCCTTGTGTTGACTCACTGGAAAGAACCTTTAAAGCTACCTTGGTCCCATTCTTAAGTATTCCCTACACAAACCAATAACAACAATAAAAATGTCTAAAAATTTAATACTTCCATTTTGATTTTTGTCAGATAAGATAGTCACCTTGTAGACTGATCCAAAGCCGCCCTCACCAATTTTATTTCCTGGGAAGAAGTCTTCAGTGGCCACTCTTAATTCCTTGAGAGAATACAACTTAACATTTCCTGCAGCTGACATATATAAAAGCAGACTGAAATCATTTATTTCCAAAGAATGATTGATATTCTAATAAAGAAACAATTTAATAAATGCAATAGAATCATCAAATTCCACAAAATATAGAATTGAAATGCAGTAGTTCATTTCCTGATGTGCAGCTGGAGATAACATGCTTACCTTCGCCAAGTTGGAGAGTTTGTTCCTCTGATGTACCTTTGGTTCGACAAAAGACTAGGCAACAACCCATTAATGATTAATTGAGTAGCTAAATACCGCTTCTAAGCCTATAAGAATTGCAAAATCGTTATCAAGAGATTGAGACCAGCATTTATGAGCACAATTGCTTGACTATGTAATTATAAATAATTAATTTGACAAAGAGTTTCCTGCGAAAATACAAACAGAATCAATGCTAAAAGATACTCAAATGTTCTATGAAAATGAGTGCTAGACATTCATGGTTTCATGATCAGCCGATTACTTTAGTTTTGTACCAAATGATGAGCCCAGAAGCAGTATTATCATAAAGGAATGTTTCTTGGGAATAAAACTTGAAGAAGATTTTTGTTCCATTTGAACGTCTATGCCCTCAATCTACAAATGTGAAACGGTGAGATTTAGAAAACAACTTTGATCTACATCATCAAAGAAGGTAATAAGGTTATGGTGTATTTTAAATCAAAAAATAGTTCCTACAATAACCTTAATTTAAATGCTGGAAAAACAAGAGCACAAAAACAAATGCATGCATAGTAGAAATCCCAAAAAACTTCATTAATTGTCCATTTTTTATGTATATGATTTGACTTTAAATCAAAGAACATTAACCAATGCCTTGAATTTCTCTTTTTCAATCTACTACTCCTGAATTCACATCAAATACACCATTTGCGAATTTTTTAAGCAATCATCATAATCTTCTATTGTAAGCTATAATTGGTGGTGAAATATCCCCAACACTAATGGCGGATATACGAGGCACCTTGTGCAATTGTGCAATGGCTAGATAAGCTGTACATGATGAGTCATGGGAATCTCTACAAAAAGTTCAACAATTATACTAAAATCTGTTGAACAAATATCAATTGAATTATTAGTTAAAGATAAATATTTAAGTCAAGATGAAAAGATTTAAATCTCAAAGTTTACAACCATCAAAAACACATTGTTTATAGTATGATGATCAATTTAAATTATGGACTTCTGTTAATTTACAATTTGAATATAAACTTAGAATTTTAATTCTCTATTTTTAATTTTAGGTATAATTAGTTAGTCGATTTAGCAACCTTTTATGTGCCTGCAATATTATAGGCTACAATTTTGGTCCTATAATGTTATCCGTTATATAACTAGGTTAGCGTACAGTGGCTCAGCTGGGTGCAGATAAGGCTGGGACAAGTGTGATAGCTTGCGATGAGCAGGATGCGATACATGCGTAGCGTGGCTTATGTTAAGTGGGACGTGTGGCACATATGAGTGGATGTAGAGCAGGATGTGATGGAGTGGTCAAAGTGGGATACAGTGATGACAGAATGGTTGTGGTGCAGGTAACGAACATCCAGATGGAAGAGATGGTGCATACAAACTAAGGACAAGAATGAGAGATAGTCTGGAAGGGTGGGGATGGAGGTTAGGGAAATCACCCTTACTCTAATACTAATTTCAAGGGAAAAGAACTTGATTAATTTTTAAATAGATATTGTATATAGGCAAAATAAAAATAATAGAAAATGAGTGAATTACTCAATTAATAGTGAGGATATTATCAATCAAGAGAACATACAACAACAACAAGCCTTTATCCCACTACATAGGGTTGGCTGTATGAATCTTTTTTCTCTATTGTGTCCTATTAAGAGTCAAATTCTCATTTAAATCTAATAAAAAAATATCATTTCTAATATTTTCTAACAAGTCTTTTTAGGTCTATCTATACCTTTCTTAACATAGGTCAAATCTAAAACATATACTCCCCTAATCGGATCATCAGAAGGCCGACATTTTACATGACCAAACTATCTAAAGCTACTCTCTCTAATCTTATCTACCACTAGAACTATTCCAATCTTTTCACAGATATACTCGTTTCACATTTTGTCTATAAGAGTAAAGTCACTCATCCACTTGAGCGTCCTCATCTCTGCAACACTTAACTTAATTTTATGCTTCTCTTTTAATGGTCAACATTTTATGCTGTAAAGCATTGTAGATCTCACCACCATCTTATAGAATTTTCCCTTAAGCTTGATGGGTACTTTTCTATCACATAACATACAGGATGCATTCCTCCACTTCAACCATCCAATTTGAATTCTACTAATAATATCTCAATCTATTTTACCATCACTTTGAGCAATAGATCTGAGATATCTAAAAAATGTGCTTTTATTAATGACTTGATCACCCAAAGTCACAACCCCCCCCCCCCAAACTAGATTTATTATTACTAAAACTATATTCTATGTATTCGGTTTTAGATCTACTCAAATGAAAACCTTTAGACTCGAATGTTGACCTCCATAGATTAAATTTACCTTCAACACCCTCTCTAGTCTTATCAACAAGAAGAATATTATCATCAAAAAGCATACGCTGGGATACATCCTCTAGCAAATGTTTAGTAAGAACATCCATTACTAAAGCAAAAAGATATGGGCTTAATGCTGATCCTTGATGTAATCCACCTAAAATAGGAAAATATTTTGGTCAAACCACCTTGTGTTTTGTGTTTGAACACAAGCAATAGCACTAGCATACATATCCTTAAATATGAGCATTATTAACCCCTTTCTTTTACAAAACTCTCCATAGCCTTCCTCTTAGAACTTTGTCATATGTTTTCTCTAAATCAATAAATATAATATGTAGATCCTCCTTATTCTCTCTATACTTATCCATCAAAACTCTCAATAAATGTATAGCTTCCATGGTAGACCTACCCGGCATTAATCCAAATTAATTTTTAGAAACATTAGTATCACGTCGTAACCTATGCTCGATAAATTGAAAAATTATTTTGTGCAGATGCCGAACGCGGTCCGGAGACCAACGAGAATGCGCCACATCACCTCTGTGTTCGGTACTGTTGACATGGCGCATTCTGATTGGTCTCCGGATGGCGTTCTGCATCCGGTCTCCGCACAAAATAATTTCTTCAATAAATCTCTCACATAGTTTAAAACTATGACACATTTACCAAATTCCTCTACAATTTGCACACTCTTATGCATCACTTTTATTCTTAAAAATAGAAATCAACGCACTACTATACTCATATGACATCTTTTTAGTCTTTAAAATAGTATTGAAAAGTTTTGTAAGCAAAAAAAAAAAATCATCTTCTATGCTTTTAAACACCTCTATTGAAATATCATCAGGTCCAACAACTTTTCTAAACTTCATTTTTGTAAAGCTTCTCTAACTTTAATTTTACTAATACGCCGATAAAAATAAAAATATTTATTTCATTTAGGGTGTTAAGGTCAAAAAAGTCAATAATGCATAATAAATGTAGAATATTTTAATTTATTAATTCACATATAACTGAGCAGAAGATCCTCTAGGGGCGTAAATAAATGACTTGAACCGAAAAATCTAGTTTTTAGTTGACCCATTTAATAAACGAGTCGATTTTGGGTCTAAAATTCATCTCATTTATTAAACTGGTGGGTTTGATTTGACTTGTAAACCCAATTTTGACTTGAAAGTAACCCATTTAATTTTTTTCTCTTAAATTATTTTGCTTGTTGGTATGATCTTCCTATTTTTCTTTCAAGTAAACTAAGCTTTATAGTTAACAAATTATTAAAAAAAATTGTAACCAAAACAACTTATCAGGATATTCAGGTTGCCAATGGGTCGGGTTCAAGTTGATTGGATTCGGGTCGGATCCAAATTCGATTCGTTAACCCGTTTTGAGACCCCTAACACCCTCATCACCAAGTCATTAAACTATTAACAAAGGACCAACCACCCAACACTATAGTTGTTTGCCGTCAATGACCCATTGAGTCAAACACATTGGAATATTGTTAAACACCACTCAAAGTTATCACAAATGGGTGATCAAAGGCAACAACAAGAGTGGTTAGGCAACAATTATAATGGAATGGTAGTGTTATAAGGACTTATTTAAGAAGGTATTTTGGTCTTAGGATAACATAAATATTTTTTTACCAAATAAACAGCACCAATTATCCATGCCAAGCATACTTTTCAATCCTTTAAGCAATATTACCTATTTATCAGCATTCATCAAAGATCTCACATGTGAATGTAATTGCAAAAAAGCAGTGTGGTGTCCAACTATCAATCTCCAAGATAGACTTCCTATCATCCAATTCCCCAACATCCAATTCCCCAACATGTCTACACTCATATCCCACTAAGCCAACATTATATCCACATCAATAACAATTCATCCACTAAATTTGTAGTAGTTCTTAAGTGCCTAAAAATAATCTTTTTGTTTTTTTTTTCGAGTACTCACTTCCTAAATTTACCAATTATTTATTAACTACTTTAAATGAATGTTCCCTAACTGTATTAGCAACTGAAATTTTAGACATCTCAATCAGAACATTTATATCTTGGCTCTATTTTCCTAATGATATGAGGGTATTGACCAATTATGCAATCATGTTTGCACAATTAATACTAAATCTCTATAAAACATTATGTGAATTCTTGTTCTACAATATCAAAGGTTCATGGTTCACTGATCCCCAAAAATTTCATACCAAGGATCTTTTCAACAACACTAACTTCCTTCATGTAAGACTTCATAATCATGTATGGACATTATTTGTTTATACATAATCAAAATTTCAACCTTTTTTTTCAAACCAATAAATAGTGGCGGGAGGCGAACCCTCACCTCAAACTTTACGAGATGAAAAAATAACTACCAATACATTGGTTGAGTTGTGTTACCTCTCCTATTTAAAAGATGAGATCAGCGAATCAAATATCACTTTAAAAGCATCATTTATATTTGTGTTTACTACATAGCTTCTATATATCATGCAAAAAAAATTAATATTGTGTTAGAATTTCTAGCATTGTCAAATCAATCATACTAAAACCATGAAATCTATTTTTAACATGTATATATCAAAAAAAAATTCTCCAACAAGTAAAACATGTGGTTCTCATCATAATTTATTAACTCGTATGTTGTAACATGAGCAAGTCCATCCATTAATCTCAATGCATAAACACACTTTTGACATTTAACTACTCTAGTTCTATATCAAACTTCGCCTACATAATATATAACATCCTGAATATAGTGTGTTTCACAGCTCTCGAAAAATACTACGACATTCTAGTTACTTTTATGGGAACCCTTTTTAATATAACATGAATCACGAAAAGAATTTTCAAATGCAACTAATATGATTCATAACATAAACACATGAAAAGAAAATTGGTGATTTAAACATCATAAGCCACTAAATAATTCAACCACTTGATTTCTTTAAATATAAATAGGAACTACTAGAATTACACGTGATTAGGAAAAATCCAAAAACATTAAATTAGGTCACACAAACTTGCAAGTCTACAACCATACGCAAATAATGCAACCAGGAAGAACTTGTAAGAGGCGTCAACAAGAATATTCAATGACATTCCAAATGCCACCGAAACCACCACCATTCAAAACCTCCACTAGAATCGAAGCAATACCCAAATTAAATTCACAAAAAATACACAGTAAAATGGAAACTGCAACTTCGATGAACCACAATAAGAGGAACTGCAAATAGCAATTAAACATAATGCCAACAAAATAAATTCAATAGCACCATCCAAAGCATAAGTCTAAATGGATAAAGCCAACACTGTCGCCTAAGCAATAACTCCAATTTCCACTATCATAAGAAAAGTCTCAACACGAAGTGTAAAATAGATGAGGACCCTCATCTTGCGCTTGGCTTAAGTACTTAATCAAGTTCAACCTAAACTACGATCTAACCTAAAGCTATAAATAAAACTCAACCGTCATTCCACCATCATCACTGGTATGTTCTTAACTGTACAAATAACAAATAAATCTTGCACAGATCATTGCTTGATGTCAATTATGGTGTATATTGCCAACTACCATATGCATATCAAGCTTCACCTGCACCTATGATATCTTCATGCTTGAAGGCATCATCTATATTTTCAGATTAACAGCACACCAAACGCAGCATCTTTGTTGATTACTACTTTTTGTAGTATTGGATACCAAAGCCCATAATCCTTCATTTCTTTTTTCTATCCACTAAAAAACACTTTTAGATACAACCATAGGTTGGTATAATCCCTTTTCCTCTGCTTCCATGTTCTTCTACTCCTCTGAAGTATATGAACATGAGCAACAAACTTAAGAAAATTAAAAACGGTCACCATCTTCAGTGCAAATATTCATCTCCCAGCATGAAGAACAACGTACAAAACATAAATCGGCAATCTTTCAAGTCACTCATCCATCAACGAAATAAAAGGGCATCTCTTTGTTATTCTAAAAATTCGTCCAGTTAGGTCGGTCAATTTGATCACGACACCTTTTCAAAACTCGAACGTAAAACAAAAAGAAATTAGAACAAATACGAAAGCATTTGCATCAAAGTGGTTAAAGAGGTTGAAACTACAGCTACATTTTCCCTCGCAAATAGGCAATCTGAAAGCAGAACACATCAAAAAAAGAAACCAGCTGCATGCAGAGAGATCTCAGAACCAAACGCATACCTCCAAATCAAAACTATGTCTCCCAATAGGTCTCGTGTTCCAAGCAGTAACTATTCCACGATCCCTTACTAGAAAGAACCAGCAACAAAGCCCGCAAATAGAGCAACAACCAGAAGTAAACCAAAGCAGACAGATACTTCCCCTGATAAAACCTTAACCGCCGAAGAATTTAAGCGAGGTCGAGAGCAGCCAACGGCTGCGGCGATGGCGATGGCGAAGGTTATGAAAAGCGAGCTCAGAATCTCAGATCCTAACGTGTGAAAGGACGACGAAGAGAAGAAGACGGGTCGAAACACGGGCCGAATATAACGATAATGGGCCCACGAGCCCGCCAGTTGGCAACTTGTTCGTCCAGGAAGCCAATTTTGTGAGAGCCCGAAACGACCCGACGACTTGTATTAATTAACATTTGTTGAAAACTAGTTAAACCTAATCGCACAATCCTAGCCGTTCGATTCTATTATAATAGCATCAGCGAGATGTCTCACTCTTATGGAAAGCATGTGATTTGGTAAGTTGACGTTCGTACGAAATGTTATAAAATTACGCGTAGAATACTCTATTCTTTTTAATTGAAGAGAGAGAGATATTTATATATATTCAAAATATTATGATTTATATATTTAACTTCGAAATTTAATTATTTATATTATCTAATACAGCTGAGAAACTCGTTATAGGAGATTAGGACGGGCTATAGGATCGAGTAGGGGTGTCAATTTCGGGTCATGGGTCAGGTTCGGGTTAAACCCGAAACCGACCCGGTACTATTTGGGTTCGGGTCGACCCGACCCGTTTTTGCAAACGGGTTGATTTTCTGGAACCGAACTCGCGTGACTGCGGTCTGCTAGACGCGGGACACCGCAGCGGAAGCCGGCGACAGCGTGACGCGGGACGTCGGGACGCGCGACAAGACGCGCGAGACGCTGGACGCCGGACGTAACGCGATGTTGGCCAGCCTGGCCTTGGGACGCTTCACCACGCGACGGGGCGGGGACATTTTGGGTCATTCCCGGGTCAACTCTACCCGATTTTTCAAACGGATCGGTTTTTCGAACCCAAACCTAACCTGCTTCGGATTCGAGTCCACTCAAACCCGAAATTTTAGTGTCAGGTTCGGGTCAGATTTTCGAGTCAGGTCCAATATTGACAACTCTAGGATCGAGCTATATCATAATGGGATAGTTAAGGGAGCTGATATTATTTATTTTATTTTAATATTTTGAGTGTTAAGTATATAAATAGCGAAATTTAAATATTGAATATGTCAATTCTAATATTTTGAATGCTATGTATATATGTAAATCACCAATCATAATTGAATATTTTTGAATAATTATATGATCTATTTCAAAATAATGTACTATGAATATTTTTCTTCATTAGTTCTTCATTATACTCATTTTAAAATACTAATTAATTTATTCAATTGATCGTAAACTATGTATATTTTGACTACAAAAATTGGATGGGTTACTACTCTTTAATTAAGTTTATCAAGATAAGGTTGCAAAATAAGATGAAAATTAATTCTTTCATCAATAATATATATTGAAAATTATATTACAATGAGCTTTAAGGTGAAATTTATTATTCATGATTTTGATACAATGAAGAAATACTATTACATTTTAAAAGGCTATTTGGTTTGAAGTACAAGAAGTGTAAAATATTTCAAATGCATAAGTTTAGAAAATACTTGTGTTTGATTCGAAATAAATCCAATAAAGTGTAAAATTATGGTGAGAATTCACAATCTAATTTAATTTTTGTGTATTTGGAATTCCTTAATTTGGGCAATTTCCGAATATACTAGAACTTTAATTTTTTCCACAACCAGCAACCACCACTGCCCGTCATGCCGCCACTGCTAGACACCACTGTTAGCCACCGTTGTTGACCAACCACCACTGTCGCCATCAATTGGCACCACCACTAGCCACCATCATTGCCCACCACCGTCATTGACCTACTATATTTAAATTTTACAGTGTATTTATTTTACTTCAAGCCAAACAAAAAAAAAATAATTCATCATATTTATTTTACATTCATTCAAACAACTCTAAATTATTCCAAACCACCACTGCTAGACACCATTGTTAGCCACCGTTGTTGACCAAGCACCACTACCGCCATCAACTAGCACCACCACTGTCCATTACCGTCATTAACCTACTATATTTAAACTTTACACTATATTCATTTTACTTCAAGCCAAACAAAAAAAAAGTAATTGATCATATTTATTTTACATTCATTTAAACAATTCTAAATTATTCCAAACCACCACTACCCGCCACGCCGCCACTGCTAGACACCCCACTGTTAGCCACCGTTGTTGACCAACCACCACTGCCGCCATCAACTGGCACCACCACTAGCCGCCACCACTGCCCACCACCGTCATTGACCTACTATATTTAAACTTTACAATATATTCATTTTACTTCAAGCCAAACAAAAAAAGTAAAACAACACATTTATTTTACATTCATTAACTCTAAATTATTCCTAACACGCGACACATTACTTTTATAATACATTTTTTTTTCAACCAACCAAGCAGCCTCTAAGATATCTAATCATAATAGTTGGATTAAAAAGAATTTTTGTGGTGTTTTACATTTACAAACTTTTTTATTTAACCATTTTTGTCTATTTATGTGAGTTCAAAAGTCAAATTTTAATTATATTCTATTTTAGTAGGTTTTTTATTCCACCATCTCTCTTTAAATTCTAAGTTAATCATTAAATGCCTGTTGATATGTTCACGCTCAATAATTAAATAAAACACAATTGCAAGTCCACTACGGATAAGAAGAATGAAACCATGGTGTTTTAAACGTGTAAGAAATAACAACTAACGCCAATGATATTGCCTTTAAATATATAAGTTGATTATGTAATAATATAATATGGTTCTAAATTGCCAAACAAACCAATGGCAGCATTGAAAATATTAAAGAATTCATTAGAGAGTATCCAAAGCAAGAGAAGAGTTCAAGTTTGGCAGGTATTTGCATGGGTTCTGCTAACCCCTTTGCTGCCGTACGATGTATTTTGGACGGTGGGGATTTATTTAAGGATAATTAGAGGGGTTTAGTTTCAAAAGTTAATGGAACAGATGGAGGGGTGGTGGAGAGAGAAATTATTGTGTACGCAATCCGAACGCAAAGTAAGGTTCGGATGCTGCATATTTACTGCTTACTTTATTGCGTATTTTTTGATACATAATTTTTTCTATGTATTTTAGCAACAAATAAATAATACTCACTAAATACTCATTAAATCCGTCATCAAGAAACCTAAATAATTTGTATTAAAGATTGTCGATCAAATTTAATTTGATTAGCAATTATAAGTTTTAGAGTATTTAAGGGTGCCTTGTGTAATATCCCAGAATTAAATTTAGAAGAATTATTTATTTTGTCTTCTTAATTAATCAACCAGAATTTCTATAAATCATCACAGTAGCAAATCTACATCTAATGAAAATGCCTAACAATTACATACCTCAAAATATTACATAATATTCATTCTCCTAAAATCAATATATAATAATCAGGAGATCAATACAATCACTAATTTATCACAAGTACTTTAATATAAAAAATAAAGAGGAATATGAACAAAATTAAAGAAAAACCTGAGAATCTTTGTCAGCCTGACTCCAATTGATTTTCACCCCTTCACTGACCTGAAATAATTAAAATCCACATAATGGGCTCAAAAGCCCAGCACTAATCCAAATTCACTAAATTTTTCAATGCGAGTATTAAATAATCAATATAAAATGTTCAGTCTAGTATAATCAATTATAGTCGATATAGTTAATGACAAAATATTATCAATAAAACTAAAAACGATCAATAAAAAAGTAGGGAATCATTACAATGAAGAATCTAAAAATCAATAATTGATATAAATTTTAATAAATCAATAAAATAACGATACATAAATTATTCATAAATCACTAAAAAAATATATCTTATATATTCATATGTATCATGTGTTTATGTATTACCTATACATCAAATAGTGTCAATGATATCAATGTATATATCAATATCATCAGTGATATTAATGTATACATGCATCAATGTACATAGCAAGGCAGAATATCCAGATTTAACGCGGTGTTTTCAACAGCTTTTACCCCCAAATTGATTCCTAGTTGATTATCAGTCATATCAATTATCGCTTATCTAATTAATCAATCATCATTATAGGTAGCTGCATTAAATCAATAAAAAGTCATCACTCTCTACCCTCCGATATAATCAATCATCTGTTACAGGCAACAACTAAGATAACAACATAAATCATCTTTAAAGAAAAATCCGTTGACCCACCTTCCTGTCAGAACATCAGTTTGTGAGACATCAATATAGAGTTAGGATTCAAGCTCAAAACACGAACAACATTTTTAAATCAACTAAAAGATAAAAAATTGGATTTATGATTTATGATTTATTTAACCTGGTTTGCGAGCCAACGAGCCAAATCTTATCTAGCACAAACTCAAGCAAGTATAACAAATGAACTTTAGTCTGAGCTCAAATTCGATAATCTCGACTTACAAGATCGTTAATAATAAGACGAGTTCAAGCCCGCTCAGTTCATTTACACCTATCCTTCAAACATCCTTAAGAACCTTTCAAACATGAGTCACACAATGTGCATTTATAGTGAGATCTCATAATATAGAGTAAATCTATAGCCAGTTGGAAAAAAAACATTCAATGTGGAGGGCATTCACCCACGCTGACAGTTAAGTCCTTGACTTGAAGGAAGAAGGAAATACAGAAAAAAAAATTTAAAATCATACCGAATTTAATATATGAACGGTCTTGGCTTGCATCAAATTCTAAGAAGAATTGTTCAATCCTGAAAAGTAAGAAGAATTGTTCAATCACATATACTGGACTTCAGCTGTCTGATTTTTCTATGATGAACTCGGAAGATTCAAAGTACTTTATGACTAATGAGCATGGAGATATTGCTGCCATGGGGATCAGTATTCTTGTTTTCTAATTTAGGTCTGGTTTGGGATGGCTTTCTTACTGCTTCTCAAAACGTCTTTTTATTATAAAAATTAAATTTTTTTACTAAAAAAACTATTTTAATAAGCATAAAAAAAGTTGTCCCAAACAAAACCTTAGTTTGCCCCGAAAAAAAATTCAATGAGATAAAGAATGGTTGCCTCCATTTGTTCCTTTTATAAAGAAAAGAAGCATTACTTTTAATGAAATCAAAGATTGGAAACAAGTAGGAAGGCTATTTGTTGCGGGCTAGAATATATGCGACGATAGAGTTAAAATTCTGTGTCTTAGCTTTGTGCGAATACCCATCTCACACATAGAGAGCACAAGATGTTTTTACGTGGAAAATCCTGGAAATGGGAAAAACCACGGGGCCTGGCCCAGTTTGAAATGATTCCACTAGTGTTTGGGTAGATTACAATGGACTGACTCGTCCCTGAGGGCGATCAGATTATAAATGTCAAACTTTTGGTTGAAATCTAGTAACAAATGGGGATGAAATTACAGGGTCACTTGGTGGACTGGCAGAAGTCTGGTGCTACTTGAAAATTTGGGCATCAGTTGGTAGCCTGGCGTTGGTTTGGCAAAACTTCAGCGTCGGGCGGTGGTCCAGCAGAAGTCCGGAGTTAAATGGTGGTTTGGTGGAACTCCGGGCATTAAGTGATGGTCTAGCAGAACTCTGGGTTTACTCCAGACGTCAAGCAGCGGTCCAGTAGAACTTTGGGTCTCAGGTGGTGGTCCGGTAGAACTTCAGGCCTTAGGTGGTGGTATGGCGGAACTCCGGGCCTCAGGTGGTGGTCAGATAAAAGTTTGAGCCTCAGGTAGTGGTAAGGCGAAGCTTAGGGCTTCAAGTGGTGGTCCGGCGGAGGTGAGGGCCTCAAATGATGGTAAGGCAGAATTCTGAGCCTCAGGTGGTGGTCCGGCAGAGCTCAGTGCCTCAAGTGGTGGTCCGGCTGAGCTCATGGCCTCAAGTGGAGGTCAGACAGAGCTCAGGGGATTCAAGCAGTGGTTCGGCGGAGGTGATGGCTTTAAGTGGTGGTCTAATGGAGGTGAGGGCCTCAAGTGATGGTCGGTGGAACAACGACATCAGGTGGTGGTCCGGCAGAACTCAGGCGGTTGTTGAGGAGGAGCAAGGAGGCAAGAGTGATCTCCGATCTCTCTCTTGAATCCTTTGGCTTGGGTCCCTTTTCAAGAGAAAAGGGGGCCTTATTTATAGATTTTTGTAGTGACATGACCCATAAATAGGTGGGAGATCAAGGGCAAATGGAGAGTGGTTGGATGGACGACCAATGTTGAATCCCTTGATCATGGACCGTTTGATAGACATTTGAATGTCTTAGTGATGTCGGAATTTGGTGATCTTGGGCTCGTTGGATTTGTCTCGTCGAGCCGCTCGATTCAACTATAAGCACGTTATGTTTGGAAACCGTTTGGTAATCCAAATTGTGGTTTCGAACCTTTCAACAACACTTCTAACCCTTGATTTGGACCAATTTGGGCTCAGATTGGGTTGGATTTGGTGTTGTTGGGTTCGTATTCTTGAGACATTCAGTTTGATTATAAGTTTGTTGAAATCGGAGTTCGAATTATCCCAATTTTAATTACGGAAGTTTCCAACTTGATTTTGCATCGAGATTCATGCCCGATCATGATAATTTTTTTGATGACGTATCACAATTTATTTGTTGACCAAGTATACACCTACTCGAATTGCAACATGCTTACTATTGCATACACTTGGAGGGAAAAAAAAAACTCTTACATGTTATACCTGCTGTGTTAGGTTGTTCTCCATTGAAAGTTTCTTATTGTAGACCGACTTTTTCATTTGCTGCTTGCGTTAATCACTTTCATTTCCACGTCAAGATCACTAGTAAGGCGAGCTAGATTTCTCTTTCAACCTCTGCTGTGTTTAAATTTGCAGAAATGTCATCGATCAACTGCAGCTTTGCCGCTTTGGTGAAGACAATATCGCATGAGGAAAAAATTTTGGGAGGTCGGAAGGACTGTAGTCGGCGGGCGACGTAAGTCAGAAGGACTGTAGTTGGCGAGCGACGCAAGTCTAAAGGACCGTAGTTGTCAGACGACAGAGGTCGGAAGGACTGTAGTCGGCGGTCGACATAAGTCTGAAGGACCATAGTCGGCGGGCGATGGAGGTTGGAAGGATTGTAGTCTGATGACGGAGGTCAGAAAGACAGCGTCTGGTAGAAGTCCATAAATGAGCAGAAATCCAACATCAGATAGATGTCTGGTGAAAGTCCGACAATTGGTAGAAGTCCAGCGTCATGTAGAAATTTGGCGAAGAGCGGAGGTTTGACGTCGGATAGAAGTCGGACGTCAGTTGGTGGCCGAGGAGAACTCCGACGTTAGATGATATTCGGGGAGAACTCCGATGTTACTTGGAGTGAAAATCCGACATTAATTGGAAGTCGGGTGAAATTCCTACGTCCCTTTGAGGTAGGGCAGAATTCCCACATCACTTTGAGGTCGGGCAGAACTCCGGCGTTGTTCGAAAGTCCGGCAGAATTTCGGTGTCGGGTAGAACTATGGCGGTGGTCGAGGAGGAGTTATTCCCTCCTATCCTTCTCTTCTTTGCTTCTTGCTTGGATCACCTCTCATGAGAAATGAGGGGTCTATTTATAAATTTTATGGAGTGGCATGACCCGTAAATAGATGAGAGATTAGGGGCAAATATGGAGTGGTTCGGATGAACAGTCGATATTGAATCATTCGATTATGAATCGTTTATCAGATATTTGAAGGTCTTAATGACTTCAGAATTCGACGATCTTGGTCTCGTTGGATTCGTCTCGTCGAGCCACTCGATTCGACTATAAGCTCGTCAAGTTCGAAGACCGTTTGTTAACACAAATTGTGGTACGAACTTTCCAATAGTGCTTCAGGTCCTTGATTTGGACTCATTTGTGCTCGGATTGAGTCGAATTTCATGCCGTTGGGTTTGTATTTCCGAGACGCTCAGTTTGACTGTAAGTTTGTTGAAATTGGAGTTTAGGTGATCCCATATTTAATTTTTGAAGTTTCCTGCTCGATTTTGTCTTGAGATTCGTGCTCGATCAAGATAATTTTTTTGATGACATATCAAGAGAGAAACTAGTTATCATAGTCAATGCTATAATCAGTTTGAATTGTAACATTTGTTCTAATAATTCCTGCCATAGTCAATAATCTATATGTTTCAATTGAACCTTTATGACCAAATGGACCAATGTAAGCTACACTTGTAGTGTGTTATCACGTCTACTTGTCCAGGATGAATAATTGTTGCTATCCTCTCACTTCAACAACTCGCTATTAGTACCCCATCGCATTATCAGCATAGTTTCCTGGATCATAATCATTACAAAGCTATGAATCAATGCACCATGTTCCACTATAAAAACTTCATCGGCCAATCTTTAAAGGGTTATTGATTATAATTAGCCTACTTATAAGAAGTCCATAATTACTATTAATGTAGTCAACATCAATAACAACACTTCGAGGAATTTTCTCTGCCTTTCTTATCAGTCATTACTCCAAACTCTATGATTGACAAATTCCTTTTAAAAAAAGATAGTATTTCTATAGTCTAATTGTCTAAAGTAATATTTTATATATCATCTCTATTAATAAAACTTGAATGTAGCCTTCTATTATATGTTCTTCTCTCAATTATAATTAACTTTTATTATCTCTTCTCTTTTTGGTACTCACGAGAAATCTCTCACACTATTGAAAACTATTGAAAACCTCTCAAATTGTATCTTATTTATAAATACAATGGATGTTTCCTGTCGGTTGCTCTAACAATCGGTGTAACTCTATGAGCCAAACTACTATAAATCCATTTATGTGCTTCCTCATAGAGTAATCTCGGCATGATACTTTTTTTTTTCTTTTTTTTTTTTGTTATTTTTATTCTACCTTTCAAATGTATGCCCACATACAGAATCCTCTTAGAAAATAATATTTCATCGTTTATCATAGATGATTACCCATATAAAGGCACCATGTTTGTTAATCCAAAGTGAAATACCTGTTTTTCCTCAGTTTGACTATAAGATCGCTGAAATCGGAGTTCATATGCTCCCGAAATTAATTTTTGAAGTTTCCGAACTGATTTTGCCTCGAGATTCGTGCCCAATCAAGATTATTTTGTGATGACGTATCAATAGTAAAACATAAACAATTTTTTACTATAAAAATTTTAATTTTTATACTAAAAAAATTATTTTGAGAAATAGTAAAAAAAATCGTCCCAAATGAAGATTTAATCATTTTCTCTACTCCATCACTTAATTAAATAATTATATTTAAAAGATTGATTAAATTTAGTTAGTTCATTTTTGCATGAAATTTTACTTGACATAATTAGAATAAAACTTTACTTCGATGAATGTGAACATCAATAATTTAAAACTTTATAATTTATTTTTAAATCAATATAATATAAGTTATTTTATATGTTGCTTATCTCTTAAAAAGATATTCAAGAATTTTATTGTGCAAAGAGCATTGTGACACAAATTTTTTCATGCTAGGACTTTGAATTTTGATACAGCTTTGTTGAACCGCAGCTAATAATTTATAAATCAAACGACATTGATTGGTCAATCGGATGAAAAGTTTCAATTTTTCGATAATGGATACTCCAAATGAATCGGAAAAGTCGGTTCTTTTTTTTGGTGAGGAGTTTGTTTAGATTCATAGTCGCGGGTTAATTGCCGGCTCTACAACGCGTCTACAGGCCGCTCCTTCCCCCCCAAATTGCTTTCGTCCTCTCCGCCTCTCACGCTGACTCGCTCTCCCCCTATCTCTTAATTAGAAAATGGAAGACGACCTCTTTCCCCTGTTTTCATTCCATCTCTCGTCCTCTCTCCATCAACTCCGCGCGAGGAATTGATTTGCAAGGCGACGAATCTCGATCTGTCGCGGTCATCTTCCACCATCCGTTGCACGTTTACTGTACTCTCTTTCTCTACATCTGTATCTTATACTCCGAATTCACTCCATTTTTCTTAATCAACAAATGAAATTGCCCTTTTTTGTTTTTACGATTTTTTTTGGTTGTATTTTTATTGATTTTTCCAGCCTTTTTCATCGGGTGCATTCATTGATGTTGATTGCTGATTTTTTCTTCAAGGTTCGATTTTTTAGTGATCTTGCTGAAATTTTGGCATAAAGATGGAGTTTTTTTTTTTTTGTCGTAATATGAGGATATATAAGCTGTTCATATATGGATTTGGAAGAACAGTGAGTATCAGACCTTGTGGCACTTATTTCTCGCTGTCTTTTAGAGGAGTGGTAAATTGTTTGAGTCCTACGAAAGAAAGTAATAACTTATTTCTAGAAAGTTTTGTGAGCTATTTAATAGCTATATGCTGCATTTCCCTTATAACCTAATCAAGCTTTGGTTCCTTGAGATCTATATCCATGTACGTAGAGAGTCATTCTTTTGGAATGTTTGCCTGTTGAGAAAAAAATTGGATTATCTTCTCTCCTTTATAGATAGACATTTGGATGACTGCTATTACTTTTTTAATGGTAATGCTGCTTAAATTAGTTTGGTTAGTGTTGTATTTTTAAAAGTTCAGTGAGAAGAGCATGAGGAAATGATTTCAGCTGATCATGCTCATGCACCTTTATCATGATTCTATCACTCTGAGGCAAATTTATGTTTTTGATCATATAATTAATTATGTGAAATTTTGAAGTGATGATTTAGGTTTCCTTTATTAGAATTCTTCTTTTAAATGACTATACTAGTTTTAATGGCTGAGCCATTGGAGTCATTGTTGAATTAGATCACCATTGCAATGAATATGGAATTGAAAAAAAATGCAAGCAAATCTATGGTAAGTGTTAGACTAACTCAATCTTGTTCGATGTTTGGTGTTATATGTGTTACACACGATTCAAAAGTGCTTGCACATAATCTAAATGCAATGGAATATTCTTCATGAGAATTGAAGAGATCGGATAGCCATTGCCGAACTCAAATGATCATATTGTGTGTAGATAAGGAGAACGGTTTTGAAGAGCCTAAGAAATAACATGAACATGGCATACATCCTTTGTCAGTTGGTATGTAAATGCTTCGATTTATGTTAAGGAATCTCTCTCTTAGGTGGTGCATTTAAGAGACTAGGTTTCGTGGTTTTCTTGTCTTTATATGTCCTTCATGAGAAGGAAGCTAATATGCCATCCCTATTAGGATTTTAGTGTTTGCACAAAAAAACGTACTCTTCTATAAGGGTTGATCTCTTTCTTTATTAAGGCCATTCTTGGATTGACATATATGCAGTAGTTGGACTATTTCAATGTTGATGAGCAAAAATAGCTAGGGCTTTGGCAAGAATAAGAGGGTACTTTGTGAGAGTTATGCTAAACTCAAACTTAAAACTGAAATTAAATGCTCAACTCAAACTTGAAACTGAAATTAAATGCTCAACTTAAACTAGACTTGACTCTAAATTGAAATAATTTCAAGCCGAGTTAATTAGAAATGAGTAGATGTCGAGTTGACTCTAAATCTATTTCAACTAGGTATATACATAAACTTAAATACTATACTATATATTATGCATATATTATATTATATAAATTATATTTATATAATAACATATTTTGAGTTAGATTAAGAGTCGTCTCAAATTATGTTTAAGCAGGCAAATATTGATTTCAAATTTGGAGTTGAGCTTAAAATTGACGTGCAAATTAAAGTTGGAATAATCTCCACTTTTAGGAGAACTAGAGAAATACTAAAAAATTCATGAAAAAATCATAGATATGAAATTTGGGTTACAACAACTATAACAATAACAACATCAATCCTTTATCCCAGTGCGTGGAGTCAACTACATGAATTTTTTTTTCTCCATTGTGTGTTGTTAAAAGTCAATTTTTTATTTAAATCTAATAAAAAAAGATCTATCTTTATCTTTCTTAACATATGCTAATTCTAATACATCTATTCTCCATCAGAAGGCCGATATTTTATGTGACCAAACCATCTAAGGCGACTCTCTCTAATCTTATCTTCCACTGAAGCTACTCCAATCTTTTCACGTATATGCTCGTTTCACATTCTATCTCTAAGAGTAAATCCACTCATCAACATAAGCATCCTTATCTATGTAACACTTAACTTAATTGTATGCTTTTCTTTTAATGACCAACATTCTTCACAATAAAGAATTGCAGGTCTCACCACCATCTTATATAATTTTCCCTTAAGTTTGAGGGGTACTTTTCTATTACAAAATAAGCTCGATGCATTCCTCCACATCAACCATCCAACTTGAATTATAGTAATAATATCCCCATCTATTTCACCATTGCTCTGGAAAATAGATCCGAGATATCTAAAACGTGCACTCTTATTAATGACTTGATCACCCAAAGTCATAATCCATTAGATCTATTACTTCTAAAATTACGCTTCATTTATACGGTTGTAGATCTACTCAAACAAAAGTCTTTAGACTCTAAGGTTGACCTTCATAATTTAAGTTTACCTTCAACTCCCTCTCTAGTCTTATCAATAAGAATAATATCATTAGAAAAAAACATAGATCAGGGTACATCCTCCTTCAAATGTCTAGTAAGAACATCCATGACTAAAACAAAATGATATGGTCTTAAAGTTGATCCTTGATGTAATCTAACTGAAATAGGAAAATTCTTGGTCCAATCTCCTTTCGTTTGAACACAAGTAACAGATCCTGCATACATATCCTTAATGACTTGAGTATAAGCATTATTAACCCCTTTCTTTTCTAAAACTCTCCATAGCATTTATATTGGAACTTTATCATAAGCTTTCTCTAACTCAATAAAGGTTGCTTGTGGAAATTTGGGTTAGGGTGAAGAAATTTAAATTCTCATATGAGCATGGGTGAGAGAGAGAGAATGAGTTGTTGAGTCTAAAATGGCTCCAAAGTCATAACAATAGAGATTGAGAGTGATCATGCAAGCATAGTAGGGGAGCAAGTTTGGGTGTCCTTATGTAAGAACTGTTGATGGCATTAGAGCGTGAATTCAAGAAGCTCTTTGAGCTAGTGAAGTTGTAAGTTGGACATAGACAAGAAGGATCATCTAAGGAGTCTTCTTGGATGGACACAACTAGTTTCGATGGCTTGTGAGAGAAAGTATCTCTCTTTCTCTCACTTGATTATTTCACCTTTGTGAACTTCAGTTTCTGTATGTGAGATTTCCTTTTGGGCTTCTTTTTGGTTGGAATGTTTTTTTGTTGGGTTGGAATGTGGGTATACTTGAGATTTGAAATTAGGGTTGGTGAGTGTTCATTCATTTTGTACACCATATTTGTGGTATCTTTGATTGTGGATCGGATGCTCTCTCATTTTTCATGGATGTAGGTTTGGTCAAAGATAAAAACATAAAATTGGCATATTTTGTTCCTTGCATTTGTCTCCCTTTGTTTTAATTTTTGGTATTTCGTATTTGATCTTGATTGATGGTTCCACTTTTAGTCATTTGGCGCTCCAGTTAGAACACCATCCTATTGTAATTTATGTCCATTTAAATCACCACAAGTAGTTGCTTGTCTAAGTTTATGTATCTCTTTTCAAAACCATTTTTTCATGTTATTTCTAATTCAATGTGAAGAGAATAAGTACTAACCAAATTAATAATATCATCATCATCAACATTAGCCTTATCCCAACTATTTTAGTTGGCTTTTTGAATCCTCTTTTCCCATTCCATTCATGGTAAACCTAATTCTTAATGTCGTCACTGATAATAACAATAACACATCATCCTGATTAAAAAAAAATTAAAACAGGTTCTGTGTCATACATCCTTACAATAAGATTGTCCTAAGAATATTATTCTCATTAACGATAGCTTTTGAACTCATATTTAACCAAAGCTTCATTCAGGACAGCTTTTTTGTTGCAAAAATTTCTTGAATTAAAAATTTTTGTACTTCAAAGCCATTTTAAAAAGTAATAAGAAAGCCATCCCAAATGAAGCCTAAAGCTATTTTCAGCCAACTAACCTAACATAGCCTTTGGTATTCCCAAAGTTAATTTTGAAATCTCATTTTCTTGGTTATTCTAGCATTATTACCTCTTTCATTTGGTAAGTTCCAATTTGTCTCTTTTACCTGCACATTTTTGAACAATTATAATTTATATCTTTCACTAGCGTTGGCCTTGGACGCTCCCAAAATCTCCTTAGATTCCTTGATAATATAATTTTCATTCTAGCCCTTGTGCTGGATCAACTTATAAGTTCAAATATGCTGCTTTTACCAACTCGTTTGTGAAGGGTGATATTTTGTCTTCTTTCAAGTTGTTCTTATTCTATATTATGCATGCCTTTTGTTTACTTTTTTTTTTTACTGCTATTGTATTTATTCATAAGTAGCATTTTTGCTATTCTGTTACACATTCACCTCGAATTAACTTACAATTTTAAACTGTTCATATCGATGTGATTCATATCGAGTAGATTCCAAAGAAAGAATGCACTGATTGAGTATTACTGTACTTTTATCTTGAACCTATATTATGCCTCTGCCAACTGACTCATGTCATGGAATTTGGCCTGCCATGGTGTATTTTACTTGTATCTTGTTGTATTGGGTAGATCCATCACGAAATTGCGGAGGTATTGCTCTAATCTTTTGTTGGTAACTTTTGTTTGCCCATCAAATTTTGGATGATAAGAACTACTTGTTTCAAAATAGTTCCATTGAGTTGAAATAATTCCTATAATTCCTTCCAAACTAAGCTCATGAAAACAGGTTCTCGATCTGACAATTGTTTTTGGAATGCTATGTAATTTACAGATATCTGAAATGAATATGGCTTCCATTTAGAGGCTGAAAAATTGCTATAGAGGAATGAAAATTGAGCATATTTTGATAGCAGATCAATGACTATCATAACGGGAAAATGACCAAAATGATTTTCATCTATATTAAATGATCATTTTGGTCCCTCAAGTCCTTAAAAAGGAATCAAAATAGTCTCATGGTAGGACTATTTTGATTCCTCTTTAAAGAGTTGAGAGTTGAGGGACTAAAATGATCCTTTAATATAATTGAGAACCATTTTGATCCTTTTCTTCTGCCATAATTGTTGTCTTTCCCCGAAGTTTTGGCAAACCTATAATGAAGTTTGTGGCTATCTCTTTCCACATCACCGGTAGAATTGACAATGGTTGCAATAATACAACTAGCTGTTGATTATGATATTTTTCTTGTTGGCAAAATGGACTTGTATTCACAAAGTGTCTGATGTTGCTTTTCATCTTGGGCTAATAGAATTGAGTCATAATATTAGTCTTAGTTCTCTTTATTCGACCATGACCCCCTATGGCTGTTGTAAAGTTCCCCTATAATTGAATTTTGCGTGTTGAATTTTCTGATATTACTATTCTATCTTTATAAAATATTAATCTATCATGAATATGGCAAGAAAAAACTTATCTGGCTCATTGCCAATATTCCACAAAAGATTTTAGTCTGACTAAGTCTGAACTTTTGTTCTTATTTTTGTTTGCCTTTTTGTTAATGTCGGTCTCATGTCACTGTAGCTACTTGTGTTGATGGGTTTAATGTGCAGGACTTGAGACAAAGGAGTATTCATAAGATAATAGAGTAAATGAAGATTGAAGGTATCAGAAAATGTTTGGTGTTTTCCCTTAGATATAGTTGGAGATCCATTCGTCAGTATCCGTTGGTATCAGCCTTTCTGCTTTTTGTGCTGTTTCTATACATCTATTTGCCGTCCATCTTTTCTTTCATTGTCTACTCCTCTCCTGTGATTGCCTGCACCGCTCTTCTTCTTGGAGCTCTTTTAGTTTATGGGGAACCTGAAGATGTAAAGAGTGTTGTGGATCTCTCTGTGAAAGTTGCTGAAACAGAGGAGAGATCTAGGGACTTTGATGTTTTGAAGAAGGGTGAGAGATACATCTCAGAGGTGAATGCTAAAAAAAGACAACCGACGAATGTGACAAAGGAAGATGATGGGGATGGTGATCGAAAGGATAGCATGGACTTGGCTGCTAGCTCTTCAAGCAAAATTGCTGAAAAGGAAGTACAAACTGAGAAAACATTGACAAATGAGGTGGGGGCTCGTGATCTTGAATTTATTGAGAAGGAATTATTTTCTATTGAAAGTTTAGCTTATCATGAACAAGGAATTGCTGAAGGCTTGAAGGTGGAAACTGAACAGCCTTTGGACAATCAATTTGATTCTTCTCTTGGTTCTCCTTGGCTGGACGTTAACAACCATGACGTTTCTTCTGACTCTGAATCTGATGAATCTGATGAATCTGATGGAGAAGAGAGTTTATCTCCTGATACATCTATGACAGATATTGTTCCCATTATTGATGAGCTTCATCCTCTTCTAGAGTCTGCAAATCTACAGCCAGCTCATAGATCCATTGATACATCTGATGCTACATCAAGGGCTTCTTCTCCTGAGCGTGAATTTGATGATGCTAGTGCAGAGGAGGAAACTGAAAACCAAGCAGATGAAGAAGATGAAGAGGCACAAGAGGAGAAGGATAATAATGAAGCTGTTGTGAAATGGACTGCAGATGATCAGAAGAATCTCTTGGATCTCGGGAGTTCTGAGCTTGAAAGGAATCAAAGGTTAGAGAACTTGATTGCAAAACGAAGAGCAAAGAAGCTGCAAAGATTTCAAACTGACAAAAACCTTATTGATCTAGATACTGAACCTTTGCCATTTTTGGAGGATATTTCAAGATTAAATGTTCAAGTTCCAGCAATTTCTGCACCAAGAAGTAATCCTTTTGATCTGCCCTTTGATTCTGAGGAAAGTTTGGGACAGCCAATTCCAGGGTCAGCTCCTTCAGTTTTGCTTCCCAGAAGAAATCCTTTTGATCTTCCCTATTATCAAAATGAAGAAAGTAGCAACGTCACTGGTGAAAACCCTAGGCCGTATGATGCATCATTTTCTCAGAGGGATACCTTAACCAGGAGAATTGATAGGTTAAATCTTGGAGCAGTTTCAGATGACGCTAGTCAAGAGAAGAGTAAGCCCAAATTGAAGCCTTATTTTGTTCCAGAGAAAATGAGTGAGCCAAATTTTGCATCTTTCGAGAGTCAATTATGTGAGGAGAGTGATTCAGAGGGGAGCTCAGCTTCTGAATCAGACTCTGCTTCAGCTGTTTTCAATCAGGATCATGAGTTATCGAAATATGAAACACATCAACAAGTGTCATATGTGAACCAAGATGTCGACTTTGTTGAACAGGAAATTGATTCATCGTTTGAAGTTGGTTCTGCAAATCTTGAGCAAGAAGACAATGGAGCAGATGCAGGTATTCCAATTTCCACTTATTTTGTTATTCTCTCTCAATGCAGAATCATTTCTTATTTGTTGCGTTTGCAGTGGAAGAAGAAATTGGAGACTTGGAATCTAGTTCACCTGTTTCAAGTGCAGCAAACTTAGAAGTGATTGATGAGAGGTATGATGGATCAAGTTCTTCCTCTTGTTCTGAAGATGTTAGAGGTACTGAAACAAGCATTCATATAGAACCGATTAATTCAGCACACATGGTGGGTGACTCCCAGAGAAGTTTTGATCCCACTCTATCAGTTGTTAAACCTGATCTTCCGGGTGACGGAGCTGAGGTAATTCGCGACGATAGTCAAGTAGGTGAAGCTGGTCTGTCAGGTAAAGGAGTTGGGGGAGGAGCTGATGATAGGCAAATAGCTGATCCAGTTTATGATTCTAGTCCCAATGCAAAGTCTTCCTCTCACATTGCATCACTAGAAGCTTTATTTTCTAACATTAAAGGTTAATTTAAATAGAACACTGGTTAATCAACACTTTAGGCTTGTAGCTTTCATTGTAGCAGATGATGTAGATTTTCATTTCTCCAGGTAAAGAAGGCTTCAGTACTGGACCTTCATTGGCATCTGATCTGCAAGCAAACTTACATGAAGTGTTTTCAACTCCAAAGGCCTTTGAGCACGGTACAACTTCAGAGGAAGGGGATTTCATGCTTGTCAGAGAAAGTATACCTCCTGTATCACAAAACTACAGCGATCAATTTGTAAGTGACCAAGAAATAGTAGTGGATAAAGTAAAAGGTCTTAATGAGGTATCTGATGAGGCCAATGCTAATCTTAGAGAGATTAAAAGTGTTAGTGAAGTGTCTGATTCGGGCATAAACTTGGCTGAAAACTTTCATGTGGAAGACTTGTCAGATGGTGAAAATGGTGAGTTACAACCAAAACTTGACCAGCAATCAGTCATGGAACAACCTTTACCACTTGGATCAGATGCTGGCTCTTCTGTTCCATTTGATGGAAACTTGGAGATGAAAAATGATAAGTTGCACATTCCTGAACCATCTGTTATCGATACAAAAAGCCCTGCCCAGCAATCAAGTCAAAAAATCGCAGCCTCCTGCACATCAGGGTCAACTTTTGATAACTCTGAAGCTCTTGGAGACTCCCCAAAGTCATCAAATTCCATAGATGAGCTTGGACACCCTGAGTATGAAGCTAATAAAAAGCAGCCTGAAGCAGATTAGCTTGCTTGTTTGAAGAATTGTTTCTAAAGGAAAGGAAATTTGCGTACAAGTGGAGAAACAAATAGAGGGAAAGCTGATGTTTTATAGTCTAATGATATCATTATATAGGTATATCCAGCCCCATCAGTATTGAGGCTTTGTTTGGGACAGCTTTCGTACTACTTCTTAAAATAGCTTTTTAGTATAAAAATTTCTAATTCAAGAACTTTTTTTAACTGGAAAGTTGTTTTAGAAAGCAACAAAAAAAGCTGCCCCAAACAAAGCCTGAGTCTGAAAATCCCTGTTCATTCTACATCCAAGTTCTACAAACCATTCTGAATGATATAGCATCTTATAGTAGCCCTTTGGAGCAAATGAGATCACTATTGCCTGTCTTTGTTTACCTTTTGTTATTATATGACAAAGGGTTGATAACATTCTTATCCTACATCATTGAGATTTATGTTGCTCAGTTACTTTCCGGATGGAATTTGCATTGAAAATCTGCATTTTTTGTGGCAGAAATTACAGTTTTAAGTGGACATTGTGTACAGAGAATTTCTGCACTTTAGCTTATTATTTGCGTTATGGTACATGAGATGATGAGAATGTTGATGGTTCTGTCTTCATAAAAGTGTCCAGATTGAAGCTATTCTGCTAACAAGGCTTCGTTTGGGACAGCTTTCATATTGTTTTATAAAATAGAGTTTTAGTGCACAATTTTTTTTTTAAAAATTGTACTAAAATCATATTTTATAAAATAGTAAAAAAATTATTCCAAACGAAACCTAAATATCATATATTTTTATTGTTTTCCACCACAATAGATAGTACTCGTTTGTTTGTGGTACAAGTGATAAATGCACCGAAATTCACTTTACCTTATGTTAGAAATCTGCCCTCCCTACATTTGGTTAATGAGGAAGAAAGAGCTTTGGATATCAATTAAAAGATCTCGTATGCGAGTCTTGTGTATGTGATGTGTATGAATTTATCTTAATTGGCTTACATACATGGAAGATATTCAGAATGTTCCAACCTTGAGGCCAGTAGATCTGTTGAGTTTAAAGTCCATTTTATAAATGATTGGTTTCCTTCATGGATGTGATGCCCAAATTTTAACTTTTTCATAAAAAGATTTTCATTAGAATATTTTGACTCAAATTTGATGAATTTAAAATTTTTTTTGAGACTATTTTTTGTTGATTTATAAAATTACAGTAGAAAAAATTATTATTTGTAAAAAATAATTTTTGATGCAAATTTTTTAAAATTAATGAAAAAGTAACGGTCTAATAAAAAATCTTAGTTGTAGTCTGAAAAAGTAAGAAAATTATCTTAAACTAAGTCTAAATTTAAAATTAAGTGCGATATAAAAGAGTGATTGATTAGCTATATGTTATATTTATTTTAAAGATAATTTAGTTGTTCGAAAATCTCTCCTTTTAAATTTGCTTAGTATGCAATCTAAACTGTCAACAGAAAGGCAAATTATTGGGTCAGGTGACCGAACGCATAGATGGGTCCGGATATTAATAAAATATTATTTTAAAATTAGCGCAACTAAAGCGCAGGTAAAGCGCAACTAAAGCGCAAGTCAAAAAGCGCAATCAAAGCGCAAAGCGCAACCAAAGCGCAACTAAATCGCAAGTCAAAAAGCGCAACTAAAGCGCAAGGTGATGCGGCAAATTTTTATTGGATGTCCGAACTTATTTTCCGCCTCCGATCACCTGACCCAATAATTTGCCCAACAGAAAAGGGGTAATTTCGTAATTGTGAGAGAAGGTTAAATTTGTTTTTTTAAGGAGTTCATGTAGAGAGAAAAAGAGGCAATAATTATAATTTAAGAACATAACAAATTAATTTTAATTATTTTGATTATATATTTTGGTTAGAATGATTTTTAAATTTTTTAAAAATTTAATAAAATATAAATTATTTATGTATTAAACATTCTAACATAAATTTTTTGGGTACTATGGCCGAGGTTGCAAATTCCTCTGTTTTTTAGGAGCTGATTCTCTACAAAAGTATTTAATTGTAGGATTTATTAAATCCTCTAAATACAAAATTAATAAATTTTATTAGGTTTAAAATCTGAAAATTATTTGATATTATAACTATTTATTTTGCTAAATTAAATAAATTATTTGAAAATTTGTTTCAAGATTCAAGATTTATATGAGTTTTTTTAATAATTAAGTTATATAAATACTATATTTAATAAATCTTGAATTAAGCCAATAATATAATAAAATGCAAAAATGTTAGAATTAAAAAATTTTAAAAATTTAATCTGCGGAATTTAAGATAAATCTTACTTGAATCCGATGCCCTCACCATGCTCCGCCGCCGCCGAGGCATTCGTAGCGTAGGAAAGGCCTGGAGGCGGCATCTCTCTTTCAAAATCCATTTACTCGTCAATATTGCTTTGCTTTGATCGCAGAGATTAGAATCTCGGTGTCGAAGCGCGAATTATAGGTTTGATAAGGTCACGATTTTGCTCGAAATGGGCGGCGCAGAAAGCGAAGGGCAGAGGGAAAACCTCGACGCTATTCGTTCCGTCGTCTTTAAAGAATCCGAAACCCTGGACGTGATGAGGTTTAAGAAGATCTCTGGCTATGATTTCAATCGCGGTGTTGATTTCAGACGGCTCATAGATTCCATGGTTTTCACTGGTTTCCAGGCATCGAACCTTGGAGACGCCGTCGAAGTCGTCAATCAGATGGTGAGTTTTCTTACTCTTGTCTACTATTCGGAATTCTCAGAGGTCATCTTTTTTATCAATGATGTTGTCGTAAGTTTTTTTTTTTTGGTTAAAATGTATTTTCCCATGCTGATCATACTGAAGTTAGATTGGAGGCTTTCCCATGAGAAACCAACAGAAGATTGCACTGAAGAAGAGTTGGATCCTGCATACAGAGAGTCTGTCAGATGCAAAATCTTTCTGGGCTTTACATCGAATCTAGTTTCATCAGGTGTTCGGGATATCATCCGGTTTCTTGTGGAGCATAGAATGGTTAGTAATCTGGAAGCAATATTTGTGTTAGTAGACTTCAAAGAATTGATTTTTTTAATCTAGTATTTGTTGTTAATGCATTATGATATAAGTTTAATCATATTGAATCTTTCGGTTTTGATATGCTTAATAGAGAATGTGATTCATGTTTATGCTTGTTAGTGTTGGTAAATTTGATGCATTTTTTAAAAAAATTGTCACCTTTTTTATTGATTTGTCCTATGGATTGTATGTTTGTATGGATTAACCAAATAGGCAAACAGATGATTTGTGTAAACTCTCTTTAAAAAGTGATTAGTGCTCTTTCACCCATTATTATTATTATTTGGTCCTCTTAACTCAGTTAAATCTATAGATCTTTGGAGGGGAGGGGTGTTTGATATATCAAAGTTGGTCAGATTTGCTCAGTTTTTCCTGATAGGATCAATGAGTATGTTTATTTTCCAAATTCCCAATCCAGGCTTTGAACGTTTACTATTGCCTTTATTATGGGTTCAAAAACCACTGCTGCAACATTCTGTAGTAATTGTTATGTGACTATCTATAAATTCACCAAGCACACTTATTCCTTTTTATCCCAATTCACCAAGCAACAAATTCACCTAATTTTCATTTCATATCAGCTTAGCAAAGCATTTTAGAGTTTCCAACTGTTCTTCCGTATCTTGCAAAGCTGCTGAATGAATAGAAGTACCTACTTCGATTGGAATGTCTTCTTACATATCAGTGCTACTTCATTGGACATTAATGGATGTTTAATAATTTCATCTTCATTATCCTAATGAAGTATATTAACTTAATAATAATGAGAGCAATGTATCTTCTTTTCATAGTTTGTTAGTTTTACTGAGTTCTTGAGTTTAAACTGGTTTAACTGACACTTTCAGGTGGATGTTGTGGTTACAACTGCTGGTGGCATAGAAGAGGACCTTATAAAGTGTCTTGCACCGACATACAGAGGTGATTTTTCTTTACCTGGGGCGTATCTTCGCTCTAAAGGATTGAATCGAATTGGGAACCTGTTGGTTCCTAATGATAATTACTGCAAATTTGAGAATTGGATCAATCCAATTCTTGACCAAATGCTAGAAGAACAATTGATGAAGGTACTTATTGTAGTATTATTTTTAAAATTTTAATGCTAAAAATTGGATGTGTCATAAAACTGAGAATGATAAAATGTGGAATATGTATGCCAGAAAACTTCTTGAATTAGTACCTGTTCAAGGTTAGTTAAAAAAAAAAGACTTAGATGCTATGAGCATATGCATTAGAGTGAAATATATGCTTTTATAAGATTGGATGACATAGTCAATGAATGCACAAAAGGAAAAGTGTAGATTAAACATTTTTTTACTAGTTGTAAAGAAATACTTCTGTAATCTGCCATCAATATCTTTTGTGATGCTCAATTGAAATGAAGGGTGATCATCATGCCTATCCCAAAAAGTTGGTATAAGTTCATGTTGCTATTATTGTTGACAATGCTTATGATGATGATTGATAGTTTGATAGAAAAGGGTATTGTTTTGTTATGTAATTAAGTTTTTTACGATGCCTAATATTTTTCTCTTGTAATGCTCTAAGGAAATAATAAACTAATTATAAATGAAGTTTATTACTTTTTTTCTGACATCTTTTTATTAAGATAATGAAGTCTAGTTTATTCGTTACATGAGTGTTGTTTTAACAATATATACTTGATGATTTGTTGTTATATCTTGTAATTGAATATTCATTTGAGGGTCCACACAATTCAATGCTAGGCAAACATATATGTTGGAGAGTTCGGTTAGCTATTGCCATGCGTTAACAAGAAGTTATGAATTGGATCATTGTTAACATTGTTAGTCTTACCCTAATTATTTGCAATCAGCTTTAGTAATTGCTCTTTACCATTTTTTTCTTTTTGAAAGTTGCATGGTATTAACAGTGTTAAGTTTTTTTTTTCCCATAATTTTGAAGCATGTTATTTTTTCGTCTAACCTTTTATTAAATCCTTTAAAATTTTCAAAATGTCTAGCAAAGTCCATTATTTACCTAAGGAAGTGACGGCACAATCTATGGCAAGGTAGGAAATGGATGGCATTTGTATATATAGGTATATACGCGGAAGCACACATGCAAGCATGCTAAATGAATTGTTCCTTTTAATTGTGTATTCTATTGCAAATGTAACTTGTTTTCATCTCTTTTAGCTGCCCCTTTTTTCTTTTTACTTCTTGCTACCGATTAATTTATATGTGAAGATGGTAAATTTACCTGCAAGAACTCTAAGTTCTCTATTTCTATCAATATTTATGTGACGCTTGATGGATTGTTGATTATGTATAGTACCTTAATTTGATCAGAACATATCTTTACAATTTTATTGGTGGCTCTTATGTTGTTTTTTGTTCTGCTTGGTGGGCTGATATAAATTTTTCCGTCTAAGCATAGAGCATTTTCTCATCATTCATATAATGTCCTGGGTGTATCTTGGAATTCTTAAGGTAGATGGTTTTTCCTTTTTTATATAAAGAGATGTTTGTACTTTTTTTTTTAATTTTTTTTAATCTTTTTTTATTTTTATGATATACTATGTTTGAAATCATTACGGAGTATATGTGATGCTCAATATCTTATTTGGTTTCCGGGGAGCTATTTTATTTGGTTGCTTAAACAAGTTTTTCCTGCTTTTTCTGTGTGAAAAGTATAAATTCCAAGAATATTTATGATTTTTCATCTCTTGTTTTTTTTTGTCAAATGGCTATTTGATAAATTTAGCCACTCCTACATCTATTTCATGTATATCTATAGATCTTGACATGCTTAACTATGATATATTATTTTATGATCAAATCCTGTTACCTTAGGATCTTACTCCTACATTTAGGTTTTTATTTTTATCACATCACTTATATTGCTTGATGTCACAGAATGTGGATTGGACGCCGTCAAAAGTGATTTCGCGCTTGGGAAAAGAAATAAATGATGAAAGTTCGTACTTGTATTGGGCATATAAGGTAACTTTGATATCAATTTTAAATTCTGAGCTGCTTTTTTTTGCAACAGCCTAGCATATTCCCAGGCTTTGATTTGTGCGAATAAATTGTTTAACATTTCTTTTTATTTGAAAATTATTTCAACTTCTAGTAATGTTTTCATAGAACTATTTGGGGTTGGCTTTATAAATCCTCAATGCTCAACTGTTTTTACTAACAATTGCCTACGAGTTAAACTGATTTTCGTAATTCATTTTTAATAATGTTTAATAATGTAAACTTAGTTCTACTTCATATTCATCTAGCATTGATTATATGAGGAAAATGTCGAAGTTTCCCTTGAACTATTTATCGGGGATCATTTTGGTCCAAAATTATCTAATATGTCCAATTGATTTTTCGTACTCCTCAATTTGATACAAAGTAACCACTTGATTCCTCAATTCTGATTCAAAATAATCCAATAGAGAGAGTATTTTGGATCATATTTAAGGAATAAAAGGATTAAATTTGACTCAATAGATAGTAGGGACTAAAATTGTCCCATACAAATAGTTTAGGGACCATTTTGATTTGTTATCCTAATTGTATTTGCTTGTCTAATAGGCATATTTTCTACCCTTCATTGTACATGTACATGAACTGATTTTTTAAATATCTTATTTTTAATAAATATCACTCCAAATAATTCCTCTAATATAATTATTCATTAATGTATTTTTTCCAGTTTTACCACACATCCATCGTAACGTTTTAATTTCTGCCACACTCAGTTTGGATATCAATGATTTTTTTAGATCACAACATTCACATCCATACAACGCCATCAACCTAATTGTAATTGTATAAAATTTATCTTAAAACCTCCATAAAATTCCTCTTACTACACAAAATTCTTGAAACGCTTCTTCATTTTAACCATTCAGACTTAACCTTAGAATTATATCTTTATTTATATATCTATTTTTTTTAATAATAAATCCAAGATATTTAAACCTATCATATCTAGGTATCACCTTATCTCAATAATATTAAATGAGAATTATTAATATCAACGATCAATATTAAATTTATTTTTGGTATTGCTTGTGTAGTTTTGCAAAAGATATTTAAGAAAGATAGGCATTTAGTGCAAAAACGATGATGAAAGTGAACTGCAGACTCCTACCACAGGAGACAAAAAAAATTGTGTAATTTGATGAGATTAACTTGCTTACATCCACAAACACATTGAAATATTAACTTTATAATTGAGAAGGATAAATTTATATATATTTTCCAGACAACTTTTTAATTTGTATCAGAATAATAAAGAGTCAAGCTAGAGACTTGTTGGATAAGATATCAAAGAACTTTAAGTTGCATTTTTTATTTACAACAATAAGATATTTTCTATCACCATCGAACTTCCCCTCAGCACTGCCACGATAATATTGGCACCATCAGGTTGGCTTACCAACACTATTTTGTTTTCATACTTCAACCATGCTTGCTCAAGCTTGCACTGCATTGAGAGGGTTCACTATAACCACAAACACGAAAGCCTATCATTTTCTGGTTCTTCTGTCTTTTTCATTCTCTCTCCTCTTTTTTTTTTTTGCTGTTTTTTAACCTTCCCCTCTCCTTTGTCTCCCTTTCTTTTTCTATTCTCCTTTTTTTAATCCCGTGTCAATAGATGCAGCCTATGCATTAACTATCTTCCTTGAGAATTATTCTGGCCTTAATATTAATCAACTTCTCCTTTCATACGCACTTTATATTGTGTAAAATGGAGTTGAGCGAATGGGAAAAAAAAATTAAAGCATATTTTCATTTTGAAACTATTAATAGAACCACAACAAGATTTTGAACCTCTTATCCTACAATGTAATTTCGATAAAATAGTAAACTCATCTATTTTGAATTTGTACGTGTTTTGTAGAACAAAAGTTAGTCTCCACTAAAATTTAAAATTTTCTACCTGGAATTTAAAATTTAGATGGACTGACTTGTAAAAATTGGCATTGTATGATACCTTTCAATTTTCTTTGAAGGTTAACCGAGGTTTTATAAAACCCCAATTTTTTATAAATTGTCTTCCTCTATGGGATTGTTAGCCTGCTGTTTTACATCATTCTATTTTGTTCTATTTTGAGAATTGAGATACCATCTTCCTAATAAATATTTGATAAAACGATATTTAATTTGAATATGTTTTTTTCTTGGAATGGAATGTGTGTTCTTTCCTAGATCCGGAACATTTTAACGGTAATAAAATGACATTATCATTCCATTTTTTCCTTCACTCCATAAAAAAATGTTTAACCAAACAATTTCTTCTGCATCCCCAATATCTGCAACATATTTGCTTCTATGTAGATAAGGTCGCTATTCAAAAAGTGTCATGGGGAATGATTACTGTACATTAAAACTGAGCACTTCGATGCCGAAGCATTCTCAATTATGTTGGCTTTGTTGAATACATGAAGTTAGCTTCTAGATGCTACATTTTTGTTAGAAGCAACCAAGTCATCTAAAGTAGGAAAAAAAAATGTTGTGACTGCATCCAAATCTATATGAATACTGAGCTATGACCCCTCTATGTATGTAAAACCTCTCTTATAGGAATTTGGTTTTCCGATTCCTAAGCATATTGTTTTGTACAGCAACAATTATGTTACTATCTACATTGCCTACAATTGTGTTCCATGAATGAACCAAAATTATTGAGGTTGATTGTTTTTTTATTTGGACTACTGTGCTTTGTAAGACCCCCTAATGTCTCCAATTTAGAACTATTAGCAAAAGCTTTGAGTCCTCTACTCTTCTCTGTCGATTATTTGGAGCTAATTGATATATATGGTTCAACATGATGGGGAGTGTTAACATAGGAAGATTTTAAATTAGGAAGTTTCTTTATGTTTGGTGAGTGGCATATGTTTATTTAGGTACTTCTTACTTCTTAGAATATTATATTTATTCTTCTATTATAAATAAATGAAGTCTGAGGTATACAACATAAGTGCTTTCCTCTCCAATAAGGACCATGCATTTTGCTTATGTTTAGTGCTGACCATTGTGTTGACATATCAAACCTTTTCAGAATCGCATACCGGTCTTCTGCCCGGGATTAACTGATGGATCTCTTGGAGATATGCTGTACTGTCATGCAATAAGAAGTGGTGGTTTGCATATAGACATTGTTCAAGGTCCTTGCGTGCTCCTTGTAGCTTGTGATTTTGTTAGTGTTGTTCCTTAATAATTTGATTTTCCCTCTTCTTGCAGATATACGATCCATGAATGGGGAAGCTGTTCATGCTGGTATTAGGAAGACTGGAATGATTATTCTTGGCGGTGGACTTCCAAAACACCATATTTGTAATGCCAACATGATGCGTAATGGTTCAGATTATGCTGTTTTCATTAACACCGCACAGGAGTTTGATGGAAGTGATTCAGGAGCCCAGCCCGATGAAGCTGTTTCATGGGGGAAAATAAGAGGTTCTGCTAAAACTGTCAAAGTATGTTATTTTTCCCTTTTATTTGAATATGTGATGCTTACTAATAATAGTGTATATAAGTTTGAACACATATCTTACTCCGTTGGATATATAAGATGTCTTAATGTATATAGTTTAATGCTAATCTATTATGAGATTATGAAAACTATGTAACTAATGTGCACATATGGCAGGACAAACAAATAGTTTTAAGCAATTATTTTGTTATTTTCATTAAAACTAAAATCACGATGGAAATCAAGTCAAATGAAAAGGCATAGACTTCTAATACAAATCAATGATTAAAAATTAAGGACAAAAAATTCACACATGTTTTTAAGTTCACACATTTGATCAAAATATTGGTCATTGTCAAATTTGAGTGAATATATTTACTCTTTCAAGCCAATAGTGAAATATAAAGAAGAAGACGAAAGAAGACTGAGAAAAAGAAGGAACGAAAGTGATTCACTAGAAAGCAAATATTTTTATTTACTGGGAGATAAACTCTTTTTAAATTCCTCAAATCTTATTTGATCCAGAATAAATCTCAAAAGCAAAAGAAACCATACATTCAAAAGAAGAAATTTATTCGGACAATAATTGAGTTTTTTCACATATCTTGGAGCCTTATTTATAATCATAAAGCCAACTGAAAATTTTCCTTAATCAACTAAATATGCCATAAATACGGATCTGCAAAGGTTGTTTTTGGGAAATAAACAGAGGAACAACACTTGGTAAGCCGCAGAAAGCAATTTTATTAGAAGCTGCTAGACCTGTCAATAGAGAAAGAAGTGTGAGGAATTGGTCGCACTTCAGGAAGCAATTGTCATAGATGTTATTGTAACCATTTATATAAAAGCATAGGAAATAGAGGATTGGGTTGCAACATAGCCACAAATATTGAGCTGAAGGCAATAAGAAACAAATGACTTGGTAGCAATATAGTCATTATAACCAACACACGAAATCAATCACAAGGAATCTTCTTGGCAACAGTAGATTAAGTATCCAAATATAAATCAAACTTTCTTGATAGGTTAAGGCCCCAAGCTTGTATATGCAAACTCTTAATAAAATTCAAAATAATAAAATTAAGCAAAACTAATCAAGATCAACTTTCACGCTGAAATTTAGACATAGCAATTTATGTTTAGGATGATTGTAGGTTTTGATATTCATTCAATTTTGATCAAATTGAGAAAGAAAATTGGCTTTTTGACAAATTATTCAATTGATAATTATCAAGTAAATCTCTGCATCTATGTCGTACTTCTTGTAGAGATATTCACTAGTCATCACATAAAGATTTACCTCTCCAACGTAGGATATCTACCATCAATAGCATACATGGTTTAAGCACCAATTATAGTTTATGAAATAAGATTGGCATGACTGTCTGAAAATTATGTTGATGATATATTTGATGTGATTCCTCAAAAACATGGAATGGAGAATAATCCAAGAGATTGCTTGATGAATCATTACTTAAAGCCAATTTCATTATTAGTTTGGGGCTTAGTCAAGCCGAATGAGTTCCTCATTATTCCTCCATCAAGCGTTATGAAGATGAGGCCAATGCTTGCTCATGCCTTGGTAGGCTTAGAGGTTAGGCATATTTGATAGACTATGCTCCATCAAAGCACATCTCCTAGATTTGTAACCTCTCGCTTTCATAAAGGAGCATAATCTGCTTATCAGATACGTCATCGTTGAGTGGTGAATCTACGAAAATGGGATGTGCGGCCAAAAAATCTGTGAGGATTTACCTTTTCACCTCTTTTTTTGTGAAACATAAGTAATCTCGTACTGTTGGAGTATCACTACCAATTCGGCTAAATGATCTATGAACATTGGTCTTGTCATATAAATTTTTAGCGGATCGATCTTTGAGATCAAAGTGATCCTATAAGAAAGCATGTAGTGGAGAAGTTTTTAAGCTAAAAAGGTGAGTGCCAAATAATGCTTCTCAATTGGAACATGTTATGCTTCTACTCCTATCAATCTTCGATTGATATAATAGAGAGCATTCTTGTTGCCTTCTTCATTATGTTGCGACAACAATGCTTTAAGGGACTAATCTAAAACTGTTGTGTGCAAGATGAGAGGTTTTCCTCTGGATTGACGTTGCGAGAATGGGTGGTTTAATAATTATCTCTTGATGCTATAAAAAAATCTCTTGTCATCTCATTTGTAACGATATCAATTTTCATCAACTTTGCAAACGGTTGACATTATTTGGTTTAAATTGTCGAATGAACATGGTTGTCTTAACATGTCTTTGTTAAGAGTGGAGCTAATGAAGACTTTTCGATGGCGGTATTTCGATGTTGCTTTTTTTTCTGGGTCAATCTTAGCTCTCCTATGGCATATTATGTACCCAATAATTTTCTTTAAGAAAATCGCATAGGTGCATTTGAGGATATTTATCTTGAGGTTGAATTATTTGATTCTATCAAATACAACCCGAAGGCCATTGAGGTGATCTTTGTGATCTTTGCTCTTTACGACAAGATAACTGACATAGTACTCTACCTTCTAATGGATCAAGTAATAAAAAATGCATGTCATAGCCCTTTACTATGTTGCTCCAGTATCCTTTAAGCCAAAGAGCTCGACTATGTAGCAGAATATGCCAATGGGTGTTCGAAATGATATATGATTTTCATCTTCGGGAGTCATCTTAATTTGATTGTAGTTTGACGATCTAAACATGAGCGAGAACTCATTGTAGTTTGAAGTGTTATCAACTAACAATTTTGATATTGTGGATAGAAAGTCATCTTTTGGACAAAGCCTTATTGAGGCCTTGGAAGTCGACACAAATATGAATTTGTCTGCTCTTCTTCTTCTTCTTCATGGTAATAATGTTCGTTATCCACTGTGTGTACTTCTCTTCTCAAATAAAACTCACTTCAGTGAGCTTTTTCATTTTTTTCAATCATTTGCTCTTCGATCTCCAATCTCATTTGTCTTGGAACTTGTTTGACAGGTGTTGTATCGGTGTTAATAGCTAGTCGATGAACTATCACCTCTAGGGATAAGTGAGCTATCTCAACATATGTTCAAGAAAAATAGTTTATGAATTCACATAGTGCCATCTTTATATCTTCACTTTTATCTTCCAGTAGAAGAGTGTTGATGAAAGTTGGGCAGAGTATCTTCCTCAATTCCTAAATAATTTCTTTGAACTCATTTATTGTAGCAGCTTGTCCACAATCTTCTAGTTCTTAAGATACATGTTTGACATATATGGCCTTTTTTAGCATCACTTTTGGATTGAACTTCTCCCTATCTATTGCGTAGAAATATTCCTTTTGAGGATATTTAAGCAAGATGAATCCAAGGCCTTTGATTGTAGGGTTTTCATTTCTTTGTGAAGCTTGTGAACTTTTTCAATACCATGTATAGACATTTGTTATATTTTGGTTAACCCAGGTTCCTCAGTGAATCTCATGAACTTGTGGATGCTAAGATTGTTGTCTCTTGATGTCCAACATCTCAGGCAAGATAAAGTAATTGTGCATATATTTGACAAGAAAGGACATAAAATAGTAGAAGCGTTCATCTATCCTCTTTAATTCGGGAAGCTCTACACGAAGGCTAAATTATTTATAGGGATTTTTCATTTTCCTCCCCTTCATCATCTTCTTCTACTTCGATAATCAGGAGTTCAGGGGAAGGTTCATGCGATGGAGTTTGACTAGACTTTGATGAGCTAGTTCGACTTAGGTATCCCTTGATTGGAAGTTTGGAGTGGGTGCCTTGGCACTCGACTTCTCTTTTAACTCGAGTACTGATTTAATAGGATATTTTCATTTGATGTTAGGAACTCCTTCAAGCCTCCTTTGCATTTTTACTGTCTTCTTTAAGATCATGGTCTCCCATTTCTCAACATAAATTATTTCTTCTTTTTTTTTATTCGAGAATACAGAAGAGGACGTGACCATCTTGATTGATTCTCTTTTTTGGTGAATCAAAATGTTATCTGATAAAGTGAACTCACATTTTATGTATTTTATTTCCAGTCAATTCTTGAATGCATAGCAATCTTCAATGAGATGGTTAATCACCCTATATTATGGGGAATAATTGGGGTTACTGGTCAGGTTAACCTCCTCGGATCTTCTACATTATGGCAATTGGAGACTCACTTTTAGCACATGCTGTAATGATTTTAATACTCTCTCTTTTTGTAAGAGTATTCCTTGTTCAGTTTTTCCTTGAGGCATGGAATGTTCGGGTCATCAATCTCCATTATTTGCTTCGAATGATCCCTTTCTATGATGCACCGACACTTCTCTTCAAAGAGGCATGCAGTGTCCGACACGTATCCGGCACGACACGCTTCCGACACTCCTCTGACACGTGTAGGACACATTGCAAACGTGTCTAATTAAAAAAATATTAAAATGATCTCCATATCAAAGTCTGGCATTGTCTTTATATTGATGCTCGATGCTAACAATTTTTACACTCACAACTTGACATCTCATCTTTGTTCAACGCCTTCTCAACATCGACGACCAATGCCCTCACAACATCGACGATAAATGCCCTCTTAACATTGACGCCCAATATATATTGCATAACATCAATGCCCGACTCTCAACATCATTGTCAACTCCTCTCTCGATTGCTAATAAATGACATCGACGCCCGACTCTCGACATCCTAATATTAATCATTTTAAGCACAAATTCTAGTTAAATGACTTATTATTTTTAAATAATTTTTAAAATTATACTTGTTTAATTTTTATACACTATTTTAAAAATATAAAATTTATAATACCGTGTCCAACTTGTGTTCATGTCCTATATTTTTAATAATTGACGTGTCCCGTGTCCGTGTCGTGTCGTATCCTTGTCGCCATGTCCGTGTCTGTGCATCATAGCCCCCTACCCACTCACCAAGGAAAGTTCGAGGTATGTCATTGCTTCTGAACACTAATTTTGGTTGAGAATTTGGGTTACAAGTCTGCTTCCCTTCATTTTCATAATAAGCAGTTTGTTTTTCTTTATGTATATTATAGACTACCCATTTTTCTTTATTGGCACTAAAAGAAGTTGTATGTGTTTGCCCCTTCTAGATTCTGTAGCTTTGTTTCTTTTAAATTTATCGGACCAGCTTTCAAATTTTAAAAGATTTTGTTTTTCAAATTTCACCACCAAATCCAATTCTAGGATGTTGATAGAAGGAATGCAGAATTAGGTGCTTTATAAGCTTTTTGGTTGGTCAAAAAGAGAAAAAAGACATCTTTAGAGTAGGTGTAGACTCTTAAGAACAAGAAGAGAAAAGATGAAGAGCAGAAATTTCATTTTCTGAATTCAATTAAAGTTTTTGGGGTCTATTTATAGGGGTTTACATGAACCGATTTTGGATTTGATATAGGGTTAAACCAGTTGGTTTAGTACATGTTAAATAAAAAAACTAAAAATGAGTTTGAGGATCGATTTAATGTTGAAATAAATTTAGCCCTGAGCTATTGTAGTTGGCCGATTGTGATAGTGTTCCCAATCATTGTGATATTTGTATCCTTCTATGATAGAGTTATCTTGATGCTAATTCTGTGAATCATTCATCTTATATTGACATTGTTGCTGTACTCTCTTTGAATCTTAAAAAAAATATATTGTTGCTTAACAGTGTCTTCTTTCTCAATTAATCTTTCGGGAACCTTCTCATCAACTGTTAAGCTTGGGGTTCAAATACAATATCAGGTTTCATTATAGGGCATCATCCTAGACCTATACAAACTTCTAGTTCAATTTAAAATAGTAAACTAAACCAAAACCAAAACCTAAAGATGAATATCTTTAGGTTGATCATCTTAATGCAATCATTTTGGTTTTAGACACCTTTAGATTCTGCATTCGCATGGTGTCTGCCTAGATGACCCAATGTTGCTTAACAGTGTCTTCTTTCTCAATTAATCTTTCGGGAACCTTCTCATCAACTGTTAAGCTTGGGGTTCAAATACAATATCAGGTTTCATTATAGGGCATCATCCTAGACCTATACAAACTTCTAGTTCAATTTAAAATAGTAAACTAAACCAAAACCAAAATAAGATTAACTTCTAGTTCAATTTAAAATAGTAAACTAAACCAAAACCAAAATAAGATTAACTTCTAGTTCAATTTAAAATAGTAAACTAAACCAAAACCAAAATAAGATTCAGTTAAAATTCATCTTTAGGTTGATCATCTTAATGCAATCATTTTGGTTTTAGACACCTTTAGATTCTGCATTCGCATGGTATGTCTGCCTAGATGGCCCAATTTGGCCTAGCATTGTATCAGGAAGGTTCCTTTTATTGTTCTATTACATGTTAGTGCAAAACGTTGTTTCACTGTATAGGACACACCATATGTTGTTCAACTCACTATTTTCTTTCGGCCATTGTATCAGTAATTTGATATATATATTTTTTCTTAATCTGACGAAGGCAACTAATATTTTCTCCTACAACAAAGGTGTATGAAATCGAATTTCATCATCATTGAATGACATTCTTCCAGCAACTATAATGCTGATTTTCTCCAATTTTTATGTTTAAACGCTCAGGTACACTGCGATGCAACCATTGCTTTCCCCTTGCTTGTTGCTGCAACATTTGCAAGAAGGTTTGAGGATACTTCTGCTACTGCCACCAATAACTAGCTAGATGAAACCACCGAGGTTATAACTTCCCTATGACTTCGTTTGGGACGGCTTTTTTAGTGCTTCTTGAAAAAGCTTTTTAATATAAAATTTTTAATTTTTATGCTAAAAAATTTATTCAAGAAACAGTAAAGAAGTTATCCCAAATGAAGCCTAAATTAAGCTTTCCTCGTCGTATATGTTCTTATTTGTGACTTTGGCTAACATTTTTAGTTATAAGTGGCACTGTAGTGTGCCTGTTGTAGCTTTTGAGGCAGAGCTTTCAGGTGATGGGTTGTTGAATTAGTATAAAACAAAACCCTTAATTTATCATCTTTTGAATGATTGTATTATCAGTATTAACATTCTCTTTTGGTGGGAAGTGGCAACTTGTATTGTATATTTATTACTGGATATCTAACTCCTTGAGATATATGCCCTTCTATCATTTTTATGAACAAAGACATAATGTAACATTTATATATTGAAAGTGGACCCTTAGGGCATCTCCATCCGAAACTCTTATTTTTCACTGCAAAATGCAGTAAAACCAAAAAGTGCCGTGATTCATCTCCAATGGAACGTCATTTTGACTATTACCATCGCTTGTTTCTTTCGTGCCATTCTTAGGCAAGTTCGGTAGAGAGAAAAGAATTGCGTAAGTGAATTGACGTCGCACTATTCAACTGCGATCAAATAGCGGAGGAAATGGCGTTCGGTTGTGACGTTTGAGGGCCTCCATTCGGTTGTTTGCCAAACGGTTGGAGATGGTCTTAGTGGGTGTACATCTTGTTAGTGTTCATGTTCATATGATTTAGATTTACTCTAAAATAACGAGTATTTCTCTGAGTTCAAATTGTCATTACATTTAATTTTTTAAAGTAATAATACACATTATGTGTTGAATAAAATAATTATAAATTTAAATTTATAATTGTGTATTGTGTTGCATGAGGAAAATGTGTGTGAAGTATTTCAAATGTAGAAGTTTTGAAAACATTTATATTTGATTGGATAAAAATGAATGCAAAGTGAAGTTAATGTAGTGTAAAATATTTTAATTCATTTTTGAGGTAAACTTTGTGCGAGAATTGTTTATGCCATAAAAAAGCTCGATTGATTGTTGTGCCACATGTTGCCAGCCATCTATTAGCCACAGTCGCCATTCGTCGTCAGACATCGCTGTCACTCGCTGCCAGCCACTACCAATATCGTCAGTCAACGTGGACACCATTGCTGATCGCCCTCGGCTACTACTATCTGTTGTCATCACTTCATCGATTGCCACCAACTTTGTTGAATGTCACCAACCACCATTGTCATCACTACTAGCTGATTGTTGTCATATTTGAATTTTATATTAAATTCATTTTATTTTTTTTAAAAAAATATATTTACTTTACACTAATTTGGATAACACTAAAGTATTCTTTTTTTTTATTATACTCATTTTATAATACATTTTTTTTAGCTAACCAAACAACTCCTAAGCTAAGCTTGTGAAAATCCTAACTTGAAAGACAGCTTGATTTTGATAAATATAAAATAATTAATAAAAAAATATAATTAACCTAAAGGTAACAATTAATTATTTATACAAATTAATTATGACTTATTGATAATCAATTTATATTTATTATTAAGTTATAATAATTAAGCATAGGTTAATTATTAAATCATTTGAGCACTCATAATAAAAAATCAATGTGATTAATTAAAATTTTAATTAAGATATCTACTATCTCGTGCTATAAAAATGCGAAGTTGTGCCTGTTTGAGATAATTTTATCGTTGTTTTATTTTTCAAACAACAACAATAATTTCATTTTATTATTAATTTTTTTTGTTGCATTTTTATTATTTAAAAAAAATTGTGATCGAAAAATACTTTTTACAATTAAAACAACTAAATTATTTTTCCTATAACAACTTCATAATCAATTTTATAAAATACTACACTCATCACAAATAATCTAAAAACGTGTTAAATGTGCTATATATGGCCAATTTTACCGGTTAATTTTCTCCTATTTAGTTTGAAAAAAAAAAAAACTTATGTGGAACGCTTTGATGTTGAAAATGGTCAATTCTTAAATCTTTGAAGGGCTGATCAACAAATGTGGCGTTAGAAACTATCAATAGAAAGAATTGGGAATTCAACATTGATTAATGTCTGTTAACTTCCTAATTATTTGCTTCGTAAATACGTCGTTAATATCTCTATTAATTTTATGAAATTGAGGACTTATTAAGAATATAATTATCATGTGCTAAAAGTATTTACATAAGTAGTTATATGAGGCATATTATCTTAGCATTATTTGAAAATCTTGCACACACATATTGATAATTTGAGAATTGCACATAAAAAAAATTATTTTTATGTGAAAATTCATAAGAGTAAAAATCATGGGACATGGAAAAATTATTAGGCGCAGAGTGTGCACTGTCCGCACAAGCACTGGATACCTAGCGGTACCCAGCAGTATAGAGTGCCGTTACCTAGCTGGGTATAGTGCTTGTGCGGACGGTTCTCCCGTCTGCACTCCGCACCTAATAATCTCTCTGGGACATGAACTAGTTAAAATGATTATATTAGCTTGTGCCCTCAGTTATAAATGATGGTTTTTCCTATAATTGAAGAAGGCGTTGATATAATGTAGTGGACATGAATGAGAATAAATAGCTTTCGTAATGGAAGTTGAAGCGTCTTGTGAAGTTGTTACCAATAAATTATTGATAGTCTATTCGGTTGTTCTTCTTATATGAGGGTAGGCCAAAGACGAGAAAGGGGAGTATCGACCATGATAGAAATGATAGATATTTTTCATAGTGGTATGAAATGTGTTTACCTTGTTGGTCTTTGCTAGCTTCGTTGTCGGTATTGATGACATATTTCAAGTTTGCGTCGGCAGTCGCCATCGTTTGTGTTGATAGAAGGGATTTGTTTTATTGGTGACAATGGACATTAACATTAATGTCGACTATTGGTGTCAGCTTTGGTGGAGATGGTGGGCTTTAACCTTGAGTGTTGCTATCAACATATGGCATCAATGTTTGTGTTGATTGCACGCATTAGCTATGATGACAACGATGAGCGAGAG